AAAAAAAAGTTGCCCTTGCCGTGAATGAAAATCCCGGTGGCAAAACAGCAGCCATATAGCTATAAAATTATATTGTGGCTGCAGATTTGAATAGATAGGGTTGATTGGAACAAAATTTGACAGCTTTTTACCTCGGGCCTTTTATGATCACTGCGTGAGGTCTTTCTGATGGGCACTTCTTTTTCACACCATCGGACGTTTTATAAATCAAGCAAATCAGCCAAAATCACAACAAATTGAACAAATGTGTGTTGGCTACATGTGTATTTCATCGTTCCATTGGTGCATAACAGTTTGAATGTACATGTATAGGTCAGGGTCGATGGCCAAGAAATCGAAAATAGAAACTTGACACCCCCTCTCCCCAAAAGAGGGGGAGGGGCTAGGAATAAGATTCAAATTCTGCATTTTTTTCCAAACGATGTGGGCAAAAAATTGTTTCTACAGGGTGAGTAAAAAAAAAAAAAAAAAAAAAAAAAAAAAAAAAAAAAACTAAATCCATATGTCAGGACCGTTGTTTTAGTGAAGTTCTGCATGTAGCTTTTTCCAAATCTAGGATATGAAAGCCCAATTCATAAGCTTTCATTTAGTACAAGAATCATTCAAATCACTCATGTAATTTTCAAGTTACAGAATGTTAAACACAACCATAGATCACAAAAAGGTAAGTGTTCTTTCAGCAAAACGAAAACAAACCACACAGGGATGTGTGAGAAGTGTATTCGTTTCACTGAAAGAACGCACACCTTTTTTGTGATCCGTGGACAGAACTTTTAAATGGTGGTTATGTTTAAAATTCCGTAACTTGAAAGTACATGAGTGATTTGAGAAAGCTTATGAATTGGGCTTTTATATCCTAGATTTTGAAAGTGCTACGTGTAGAACTTCCATAAAACAATGGTCCCAACGTTTTTTTTTGGTTTTTTTTACTCAACCTGTATATCTGGAAGACAGGTTGCAGTGGGTAATTTTTGCACTGTTCCCCTTTTCGTTGAAAAGCGTTGAAGGAAGTGCAATACTTGTTCACAACTGTACAACCGCCGGAGTACATGTGTTGATTTTGTAATCAAATGGCGGGAATTTTTTCTGAATGAGTCAATGATATTGCTTCAATCAGTCTCGTAATGGGAATCACCGAAGGCCTTGAAAGGCTGACGATTTTTTATGGCCTGTTTGTTATGACAGCAGAATATATCAAAGCATTCAGTTAGGCCCCCAAAAAAGTCTCCGGTTTCTGGTATGGAGCTTGCCTCAAAAGTGGTGCGGCGATGCGTTTTTTTTGGTTACTTTTTTATGTCAGCTGTTGACTGCAAATGGTGCTCGACTAAATGTATTGCAAAATATATGGGAGTCCAGAGAGGCCACACAAAGCTTATTCTCGATCGTAACCCATCTAAAACCACGTTAAAATTGTGCAGCAGGAGGATTCCAGTCAAACCAGTGAGTTTGGCGGTTTTGAGACATCATCTTTCATTGAAAAAAAAACCTTTTTAATTTCGCAAGCGCAGACCAGAAACCGGAGACTTTTTTTTTGGCCTTAGCCGATGCAGCGTTTGACGTCACCATGATTTTCCTTTGATTCATAGAGTTTCCAGGAGAGTTCAGGGAGCATTGCGACACCCCAAGGCCCAACCCTACGGGAATATCCCCATATCTTCCATTGTTGTCGAGGTGAATAGGTGTCAATCAAAATGAAAGCAACTATAATACCAGTATTTATGAGGTCCTATAGGTGCTTCAAAAGTGAAACTACATAACTTCTGCATTCCCTCTTTTGAAAAGTTTCTCGACTAAGTAATTAAAATTTGATGATTTTGCCACATGCCTCAGGACTGGGTTTATAGAGCCATTCCAGAGTTCACAGACCGGTGCACAGACTACGTCATCCCTAAATCCAAGGGACTACCCGTGCAGAATTTACGCAAACTTGTTTCAGTTTTAGACAAAAGACTTGAATAAGCCACAATACGCAACATGGGCTCTTTTAAGAACTCTTTCAAAGAGTATCTTATCTCCCAATATGTATCATTGTGATTTTTGCTTTTCCGCTTCAAAGCGGAAAAGCATTGTTTTGTTCCGATTTTTTTTCCCTATTTCTTTGCTTTTCCAGTTGAAAGCGGAAAAGCATTGTTTCTTTTTTCTTTTTATTCCACCCCAAATCCCATAGACTTTGTACACGTTTGTTCCTCGTGGCATTTTGTACCTAAAACAAACTCGTATTCTAATGAAACTTGTCCCAGGTAAACTTGTAAAGACCCCATAGTTGGTCACGTGACGTCATCTTCAATATGCAAACTTTAACATCCTATATCTAGAGAACTGTAAGTCCGATTGGGTTGAAACGTGGTATATAGGTAGACCAGGATGTGTTATAGACGAAAATTGAGGTGACGTCATCATGACGTCATCGTGTGATTTTACATTGATTTTTGAAGTTTTGGACCTTCAAGCTATATCACACGAACGCAATATGCTAAATTCCTAATTCTTTTTGTATTATGTTTGTTAGGTAACAGGTATACTCACAAAATTGTGAAAATAATGTGACGTCATTATCAAAACTGTGATTTTTTTTTTAAAACACATATTTATAAGAGAATGTCCAATTGTCATGAAACTTAGTGGGTGGGTAGATAATAGTACTAGTACAAAAAATCTGAAATGATGTCACGATGATGTCATCAAAAATGAGATTTTTAAAAACACTTATAAGGGTAAGTCCGGCTGTCTTGAAACTTGGTGGATAGGTGGATAGTGTTAATAGTATTCAAAATCTGAAGTGACGTCATGATGACGTCATCACCTGTTTTTTTAATTAATTTATCAACTTTTTTACATTTTCTTCCAATACAAACATTTGACAAAATATTTTTTTTAAAGTATTTCTTTACACGTATTATTTAAAAAATGCGGAAAAGCCTGTGTTTTGTTCATCGAACCGGCATAGCTCTAGTTTCTCCTTTGGTTTGTTCTCCAGTGTTGCCCTCCAGTGTTGCCACCTCTCTTGCAGTTTTAAAGGTTTTTTTCAGTCATTTTTCTTAATTTATTTCTGGGTTAGGGGTTAGGGTTAGGGTTGTCTTTGACTTAATTAATGAACTATTTGATTATTTCATGTCTTTGTTTTCTCTTCTAAACTCCACTACAAGCCTTGGCATATTAAGATTGTGCCTCCACAATATTGTATTTTGCTTTCTGTTATGTTACTGTTCAGTATGGATATAATTGCTATTTTGAATTGAAAAAAAAAAGCGATAAATATACTAAATAACATGTAGGCCCTCATACACCAAAAACTATATAAGAACACATCAACATTCCACAGCTTTTTTATATGAAAGAGAAATTCATTAAATCACCCCAAAAAACCCTTATTTTGTAGTTTTTTTTTTAAAAATAAGCCATTTAATGCAATCAAAGATGTTCTCACAGAAGGACTATTGAATGGTTTTTATCTACTTAGTATCTTGAACAAAATTTTAAATCTTCAAAATTTTTCTGGGAAAACACAAAGTTTTACCCCCCAAAAACTGCACATTGAAAATGCACCTGTTTGGTAAAGTGACCCCTTGATGATGTCATTATGATTTCATTGACAAGAAAACCATCCAAGTAAATGGTCGATGCTTGTGTGAAGTTTGAAGTTAATCAGAGTTTTAAAAGTGCCCCAAATGGGGTACTGAAAAAACATGCAACTATTCTTGAGTAATGTAGAAAAAGAAAGGGGGGGGGGGGAATGCAACAACAAGATTACTCAAGAGGCTCATCTATTTTGGGCCTGCAATCTTATCAGCTTTTATAAAGCTGCTATGATGTTTATATCAATCAAAATCAATTCCAAAATCCAAAGTGCACGGAAAAGGCCACCAATCCGAATTCACTGTGTTTGCGCAGTCATGTGGGACTGCCATGTTTGTCTGCAGCTCATGAATGATATGCATGTACCCGCTGGAGAACAGACGATTTCTGTGACACAAGTCATTTTCAAAAACCGGTAATGTAACTGGATAACACGGTGATCAGTGCGTTTCAGGGCACGCACGTACATGTATGTATACAACTCCTAACTTGTGTGTTTTTTATTGTAATGATAATGTTTGCTTCCTTTTGTATCCTTGCATCAAACCCAAAAGCTTGGGGAAAATGGCTTTGAATGGGGAAATAATGCACACGTTTCAAATCAAATCTACCGGTCTGAGCGCCAGATCCTCAAATTATCTAAAATAAACAAAAGCCTGATAATACGCATGTATACCAGTATGCACGATACGTTCGCAACCCAACTGGACAGTACCCTCTCCTGAGGTTAATAACATTCGGTAAAATAATAGGAAACGTCAACCTCCCTAGCTATTTCGGTTCCGTTGTATCTGAGCATGCCGGATGCACAACGTGCAGCTTATGCTACCTGTACCGAAATGTTCCAGAACCAGAACAATACTGTCCTAGCTCTACCCTGCATCAACTCAACGAATCAAGAAGTCATATGTGACCTGTTCTGTCAAAATCAGACTTTTCTGGGCAGAAGGTCAAAAATGAGATTTTCGCATATCCTTTAAATATGTACATTTTCCTTTTAATAGGTGGTTTAATTTTTGAAAACTGTAATTCCTGGGCAATGTTATGCTATTTTGAAGTTCATTGTGTCGAAAAGTAGAAAACGGAGAAAATGGCCACAAACGTCACAAAACAGACAATTCTTTAACTGATATACCTCGACAAATCATCATAAATACTATATTTAGAGTTCAAATTAGGGTTTCAAACTTTTATTGTATATTTTAGACATGTTCAAGATTACTAAGATGCAAAAATTAGAAAATCGAAAAATATCACCCCCACAGCGTTTTTTGGCCTTATCTCAATTTCAACCTCTGCCCAGAAGCGTCTGCTTTTGACAGAACAGGTCACATATGTCCATTAAATTTCCGGCTGAGCAAAACAAATGCACTGGATTCAAATCACTGGATTCAAGACAAAATGTGTTTCCTCTTATTTTTCAGACAGGCTGCCACATTATTGCTGAAGCAGCTTGGTTTGCTACATTGTGTCCAAATCTCTAAAGTCCCTCGGACCAGAGACAGCAACCGATTGTCCTTCCGCGCAGTCGTAAGAGATATATTACCAGGCCGTTAGGACAGCTACCCTGCCTCATCAGACACCCCCAGCAGACACAACCCAACAGAAACGCCCAGTGGAAACACCCAAAGAGAAACACCCAGTGGACACAACCAACCAAAGCACCCATTCAACAGACACGCCCAGTGGAAACACCCAAAGAGAAACACCCAGTCGACACAACCAACCAAAGCACCCATTCAACAGACACGCCCAGTGGAAACACCCAAAGAGAAACACCCAGTGGACACAACCAACCGATGCACCCAGTGGATACATTGAACTAACACCCCCAGTGGATATATATGCGCAACTGACACGCCTATCGGATAACCCCATGAGACACGCCCACTAGACACACCCATTGGACACGCCCACTGGCTACGTCCAGAAGTAACGCCCACTGTACTGCATACAATGTTGATGAGATAGAGCATCCATAGAGCATCTGGGGAGGAGGATTACCAAATGAGGTAAGCTTCTTACAATGGTATCAACGGTAGAGTAGATCATTTGCAGCTATCCAAAAAGTAACTGACCAAACTATTGTTGAAAAGCATACTTGGTTTCGTAAAGATAGTAATGGGACTAAACTCCCTGTGAAATTATTCTTTCTGGAATGCTGTCATTTTGAAGAAAACCACAAAAGAAGGCAATTTCTAAATATGAGTCAAGTGACCCATTTTTGGAATTTCCCGGCAGTAGTTGGTTTGTAATTTGGTGAATCTGTGAACGGGTGCACGCATGCGTTGACACGATGCACACGCACGCGCGGTTGCTGTTATTTGTCAATTGCATGGAAATTTACTGGTCACATTGGGGGGGGGGGGGGTTGAAAAGTTTCTTCTCAAACTAGGCAACTTTTTCTGAACTTATAAGAAAGAATCAGGAAAAATTATTACAAAGTAAGTCCTGTTTAATTATGCTATTACGTTGTGTTGTGATTTTGCAGTGAAACATGCATTGCACATGCAGACATATATACACACTGCCAAATCCATTCATGTGTGACCAAATTCTTACCATGAAGTACCGGTGATGTTATGGTACATTCAATTTATAGACACATTCTTTTAATAACATGATCGGTCGGTGCTGGTAGTGCTTTGAGATTGTTGATACCATGGAAAGAGCTACATGTATAAGTGTTACCATTTTTTTTTTTACTTCTATCTAAAAACAAGGTTATAAAATAAGCAAAAAGTCACTTTTATCTTTCTATCTTAATTTTTGTTTTCAGTTTTATGATGTCATATGTAGCATTGAAAAAGCATTTTATTTTAGTTTGGTGATGTAAAGCATTGCAAAATCTATAACTTTTGAATAAGGGAAACCCTTTTAAGTGATGACAGCACCATGAAGTGCAGTGCAAGTGCACACTTTAAAAAATATATGAATTTAGGATTGAATAATGAGGATATTTTGACAGATTTTTAGAGGAACCCTCAAATTTGCTTGTAATTTGATGCCTGACGATGTCACATTCTTCATAACATAACTGATACTTAAGATTGTCATTTGCCCACAATCAATGAATATTGAGAAAAACATCAAATAAATAAAAACAAACAAACCAGGTTTTATAATAGGCCAACCCACCAATCGAGTGGCTTTCATTCTGTATCTCATCTATCCTGGAAATCATTTCTTCCATCTGCCAAAACTGTTTGAAGAATTCCAAGCTTGTTCTGTGTGCACTGATTGTATGTACTACCACAGGGGGTTGTCTTTTTGTGTTTGCCGCCCCACAATTACAGATCTATGGCTCCTAAAATAGACATGATTCATTAATAGCCAATTTGGGGAATTCCCCAAATTGCATAATGCCCCTTTATAAAAGGCCTTGCCAACACATGTACTAATTCGCTTTACAAGATTCTCCAGCATTGAGCAAACAAAATCAAGTAAATAGTTATCTGATAAAGTTGGTGCGATATCTGGATTCCTCCCTGGACAAATATTAACCAGTTGTTTTGACAAAAGCATGGATTTAACAATGGACCATCATCAGGTAAACTAAAGCTTGTATCTTGCAGTTGTTGTATGTAACCATTTTTCGTTTTAACCTACTTTGATAAATCCATTGTTGTTATTGCTTGTTTGCATGTGTCTGAATGCTTGGAGGAAAACAATTAAAAATCCATAATTCTATGACAAATTGTAGGCTTTTCTGTTTTCCTTCTGACCAGTACTAAACAATTCATGTATACATTGTAGGTGTTAACATTTTAAATGGTTGCAGGTGTTAACTTTTTAAATAAAACCTCTCTTTTTAGCAACTTAGTGAAATTCTTCCCTCTGAAAATGTGGAAGGAAGCTTGAAATTGATGGTGCAGATAATGCAGCAATAATACAATTCCTGTCGTAGTTTTTACGTCACTACTTCACATAGGCCATCAGCCTGGGGTTTTGGCCAGTGTCAAATCAGGGCATAAATGATTATAGTGCGCATGCACAAGGTATACCGCCCCTAGAGTGGTAACAAGCATTTTGATGGCCATTTTGAAAAAAAGGGTGATAACACCCAAAAAGTTGCCATCGCTGCAATGCTATCACATATTTTCCAACTCTGGAGGTGTATACCTTGCCAATTCGCGATCACGATTATTCCCCTCATTTGATACCGGTGGCCAACATTTTGGCAAGAGGCTGATGGCCTAACATGTTTGCCATGCCCGACAGGATGACTCATGCTTTGAGTATTAAATTTTGAACAAAGAAAGTTAAACTTGGTATACAATACAAAAGGAAAAATGAGAGGCATTCCGGCTAATAAACTGAGACGGAACTAGGCACAGTCTATTGTGGAGAAAAATGCACAACAAAAACCAAACTAAAAAAAACAAGAACTAGAGATTCACTTTTGTTGAGTTACAAACGCAGAGTGGCCGGGCAGACAGTCTTTTCATTATACAATGCCCAGAAGAGTTAGGATATACGTACATGTATATGGAACAAAGAATCACAAAATTAAATCCCTTCCAGTACAATCAACTATTTTGTTACAAAAATATATCTTAAACGGAGTAGTAAAATGATTCTGCATTTGAGTTATATTGGGATTTTATTACACTTCCGGTAACACCGGAAGTGAAGGTCAAGCGGTTTCGTGTCGGGGGACAAAAAATGTTTTTCGAGGCATAGTGTACAACCTCACGACAAAAAAGAATGAACAGACGAAACCGTTCGGAAGAAATTTTGGTTTGTATTGATTTCAAGCTAATGTCTTCATTCTGAATTCACCTAACTTTGACCTTCCGGTAGGAGGAAAGGTCAAACAACTTTGACTTTAAAATAAAAAATGTTTATCAAGGTATTGTCCATCACATCACAAAGTATGAACGTGATCGTTCATTTTGTTAGTGAGTTATAATTGACGGAAAATTGTCATATTTTGACCAAAAAATCGCTTGTAATTTGACACCCGATGACGTCATCCTGACGTCAGAGTAATATGCACCACTTGGGATGAGGGTCGATATATATTGAAAGTTACAAATTCATATCATAAACCATCTAGGAGAATAGCTGCAGAGAAGTATTGTCCGGGAAAAAAAAAAAGAAACAAAGATCAATCGGAACAACTTAAAAGAGTGGTCGGGTTGTGCCTGACCACTCAATTAAAAGGCGGTGACGTATTTTGGATTTTCAGATTTATTTTATTGTTGGTACCGGTATGTCTACTTCTCTTTTTTTTAAAGAAAGAGTAGAAAAAAATTGTGGAATAGATGTGTTTTCCACGGGCTATGGGCTATTAAACAATTACCTAGAGAGAATAGTTGCTTTATAAAATCAAACTGCCAAATTGGCAGTGAAATAACCTTTTGTGCATAAGGACATCTTGAGAAAAAAAATAGTACATGTAAATGTTGTGCTTATATAGGGCTCTCTAAAAAAAAAAAAGTCTCATGGTGCTTCAAAGTTATTGCCCCTTATCGTCAGGCTATCAGACCACCTTCTGCAGCAGCTCAAAATCAGCACAATGTGGTCTCCACCTTCACAAATACCCATTTACATGTGTACTCCTGGGTGGAGAGAGGCAATCATTTTAAAATGTCGTTCCCACAAAGACATGTATTCTAATTAAATCTACATGAACTGCAGATTTTGCAAAACAGTGCGTAACTACACAGGACTTTACGCAACAAAATTATTCTGCAGAATTTGGCGTAGCTGTGCAACATTTAAAACAATCATTATTCAATGGACGAGGATAATACAGTAACAGCATTTACGATGGCTGTTCGTGTATGATTTTGTTCGTTCATGAAAAAGTTGTTGAATGACCTCCGCCCGCCATTATGAAAAACAGTTTTGCTTGACTTTCTTTGGAATCATGCGGCAACTCTAAAAACTCTGTCACAAGTAAAATAGCAATACAATTTACTTCAAACGCAAAGCTGTGAGTTTCTTGTATAAACCTTGTTAAGTTGAACAATAACAGGCTCCAAGATGATCTCGAATAGCAGGTAAAACAGGTTATTTTCAGTTGCTCTGCCTCAACTTACGCCTCCAAAAGTGATTGCGCAAGTTAAGCCATTATTTTGTTGCGCAAGACACTAAGAAAATTACAAGAAACGGTCATAACTGAAATGTTGCGCAACTTATTCTGTCCCAGTGACATCAGTACTTTCTAACTTGCCATTCTTGCATCATTAGGAACGACTTCAAACAATTTCTTTATTTGTCAGCAAGGTAGTTTGCTATTCATAACCACTCTTGGAGGATGATTGCATCAGAATTATAGAATGACAGATGTCACAAGGACAAAAAAATAGTGGCCCCCCCCAATTTTTTTTATAGATTGCCCCTCAACTACACTAAATTTGGAGTGCTGTTATTTCTGTAAGTAACAGGAAAAGCATGTCTGAAATGCAACCGGTTTAGTGGGCCTTCAACTATTTTAGGGAAAAAATATTTACATTTATCACGTGCGTCTGCAAATATGTTTTATACGTCTTCTTGTCCATTTGATGTGTAGTAATCTGTGCCCACCCTCGATTATCGATGCCATCATATCATCATAATGTATTATCAGTGCACACAATGAAGTACCGGTACACACAAAATATACACAAAGTGCACACAATATGTACACATCCTGTTCTGCTACTGGGTTCAATCAAATTTGCAAGCTCAAATATAATCTTTGGAAGCAGATAGAAAGCCCGAATGGAAATTTTTATAAAAAGTACATTTTCAAAGAAACGTGCAGTTCATGTTTTTGTGTGTGTGGTTTGTTTTGGACACTTACGGCTCATCTACAGATTTCAGCAATCAGGATTTAAAGGTCCTTAAAAGGCCGAACAAAATTGTGTTTACAGTAACGCCCTAAAAATGATCCATGCAGGTAGGCAGGAAAATAACTTTATGTTTGTCTGTTAGTCTTTAAACATATACTTACTTTGTTTACTTTAACGGTATTTGTTTAATTAACCCGTCTAATTGTTAAGTTATGCAAAATCACACCCAAAAATGTGCACAAGGAAGATGTTTTTATTTTCAAAATATAGTATTTTAAATTTCTGGCCAAATGTGAGGTTAAAAAATTTGGCCTGAAACTAATCCAGGTAGGTTGGGTTACCGCTGCCATAAACACAAAATTGTTGGTTTTTTTTCCTTTTAATGAATGGGTTGAAAGCATGCTACGTTTTTGAAAACTGTTTCTCGCAGTAATTTCCTCTGTAGAGTGATACCAGAATCATTTGTCATGTAACTTTTGAAGGGATGCCACTTGCAACTACACTATACACCTGCAAGCTGGTTAGAACAACAGGTTGTAGCACTGACACAAAAGTGGAACAACAATGTTCCACTGAGTGTTTTCAAAGAGAGTTTTATATTCATGGAGGTAGGGAGTGGTAAAGTTGTTTTTATTCAATACATGTTCACTCGTGCAGAACCAGATACCTGTTTGGTTGCTACCGGTTCAAAACTTAACAATGACTACTAAATCCAAGTTCAAACAAAAATTCAACTAATTCTATGCAAAACTGTGAAAGAACTTGCGTGTCTTTGTGTGAGTGTCTGTCCGTTACATGCATTGCAATATTCATCCCAGTGGTCTCCCCCAACTCTCCTTTTGAAACTGTTTGGGTACGTGTGCATGCAGTCCATATCATTGGGTCTTTGTTCTTTGTCCCCAGATCACAGTTGCCCAAACACGGCCCCGGCCAGCATCATCCGAGTCCAACATCAACGTCATGCTAGTACATTCCCTACCCACACTTACAACCCGCCTCATGTGGAAGTCAGTCTTTGTGTTCCTGCTGATCCTAAGCATAGCGGCAACTCCCTCCAGGAACGGAAAACAGTGCTCCACCATCAGAAGAAGTGGTGAGGTATGTGTATGCAACCACTAAACTCATTGGAGACCACATCAAGGGAAGGGACAGACTCACTCAAAAAAAGAGAGTTCCGGTTCTTTTCAGAACCACACTTCTTCCAAGAAGAGATTTCCTTGGCGTTACCTGCAATCAAGTCATATATTCCCAATGCGATCAAGTCATATATTCACAAGACTAGTTTTGATTGAACGTGTTGATGGCGACTGCAATCCCCGCGGCTGTTTGGAGGTGCTCGTCGTATGTGGACCGGCCGCTTTAGGATGCTAAAACCCAAATCCCGTCTTGGACAAATTAAGACTAAAAGCTCGGGGGGGGGGGGGGGGGGTTCACACAAAAACTTTAATTCCACTTTCACAATCAACACCAATCCCCAAGGCATCTGGGCCAATAATTTTGACAATTTTTAAGCCGCTGTGAATTTAGTAGAAAAACTGTATTAACATCGGAAGAAAAAAAAAATTGGCTACTTTTGTACAGTGTTTGCATACTTTTTTCCGACATCACTGCACTTTGGGGTGCCGGTATGTAGCACTGCATAAAAAAAAATTGGGTTTGCAATAGAAAACATGTACGGCTACATGTAATTGTGTTGAATCGTATGGTTGAATCACACAAATCATGCATGCATATGCGTGTACAGAATGGCTATTGGGCAATACAGTAGTGTATAACTTCGACTAGTAATTTTGTTAAGAATTATAAGTGTGGTGAAAAATGTAATTGACGTTCACACAATGCTGCACAGTTTATTATAGGAAACTTTCCCAGGATTGGCTGTACTCACCCACTGAAAATATATTCCCACGGAAGAATCGCTTCACATGAAATAATAAAATGCTGGCAAACCAACAACTGCACTTAAAAAAAACCCCAGCACCGACAATAGGCAACTGCCCATGGATCAACTTTCTTTCTTTTTTTCACAATGGGTGACTCGCCTGTGTGTGTTCACAACATGAAAAGCTGGCACCATGGTTCAATGCAAAATTGTTTTACATTTTAGGTCAAGAAATGTAGACTGCGTGAGTGCGAGTCCAGGATATATGTCAGAGATGCTGAAAAAGGCAAAAAGCTGTGTTGTTACCAAGAACGTAAGTTTATTTTGATGTGTTTTTAAAAAAAGTTTGGGGTTTTGTTTTTGTTATGTTTTTTTTTTTCTCCTTTTGTTTCTTTCAATTTCATTGAGCGAAGATTTCCTAGGGACAAAACATTTTTACCACTGTCACCAAGACAAGCCACAGGCAGGAGCGACGCCAGGATTTTTACTGGGGGGTGGGGGTGGGGGGGGGGGGGGGGATGCACATTTTCCCCCAAAATGTTTGTACATTCTCTAGCATATTCTAATTTTATCATTTTTTGGGGGGGGGGGGGGGGGGGGTGGGCGGGGTGACATTTGCCCACCCCGCCCCCTTTGACACCCTGCAGATTCACATTTTTGTAAAATGTGTATTAAACTAATACATGACTTCAAATTTATTTATGACTTCAACCTCTTTTTTTTCCATCTTTTTTTCCCTCTTTTTTGTTTTTGTTTTTTGCTTTTCCGGTGAAGGGGAGGGGGGGGGGAGGGGGCCAATACCCACTTGCCCCCCCCCCCCCCTTGGGACCAAGGGGAATAAAAGACTTGTTGGTCTTTTCAATGAGAATTATATAGTTATAATTTATTACCGGTGCTGTATAAATATCCCGAGACAATACACAAGAGTAGAGACAACTCAATGCAACTTGTTGAAAAGTTCAGAGATCAGACAAATCTACCTTGCATAACACACCGGTTAAAGGGAATGTACATCATTGGCTTTTGCTGTAATTTTCAGAAATGAACTATTTGAGGGGTTAGTATAATAGATCAAATACTGTTACACTGACAAGTTTGAAGTTTTGTGTACGAAAATGCTGGAAAAACCAAGAAAAACAAAAATGTTCAAGTAGTCTGGTTCCCTGACTCCACTAAAGATGAAATGAATCAATTTATTGATGCCCGAAAATTGTACGGTATAAGGAAACCAGTCTAGCTGGCCTGCACCTGTTCATGAACATGTAACCAATAGCAAACAAACTTTGGACTGAAAAAGGGTAAATTTGGAGCAGTAGTTGAAAAATAGTTAGGTTTTTCTAACGGTGGTCGGCCGACCACCGTTGGAAATTTATACAAAATACCACTTTTCTTGAAAATGACTTCACACCAGGTGCCATAATTTTACAGGATGCTTTAGAATTTCATTTACCAACATGCTATTAAGGTATTTCGTAAAAAAATTGGTAGTTTTGTTTTCCAATGTTTGCAAATGTTGTATATTCCCTTTAAGTACAAACTCATGCCATGAGTTGGTTATGTAAATGTTTTCTTAGTGAGCCATATCTCCTTTTACATTAAACCGATGAAAAAAAAAAATAGCATTAAAAAGAACACAATAATAAAGCAAAACTATAAGGACTGGTAACACAATTGCCCACTTCTTATGAAGTACCGATTTATTTACAATGCAGAGGCCTAACCCAGGATTTCATTCGTGGGGGGGGGGGGGTGACAGTGCTATTAAAAAGGTTTAGCGCTGTCGGTACATCAGGACTTGTTTTCAGTCCAGTTAACATTGCCAAACAAACATTTTTTAAAATGTAAATTAGATTATTAGGTGTAAATAAAAATTGTGTGTAACTTACGGTAACCTGGATTTTTTTGAAGGCCAAATTGCCAACCTCCAACTTGTCACATTTGGCCATAAAATTTTTAAACAAATTATATTTTGAAAATAAAATAGGTCTTCCCTATACAAGTTTTTGTGTGTGTGTTATTGGTCAAATAAACACAAATCACAATACTGTTAAAGGCTAACAAATGAGTATAAAAGACGGACAGACAAAAACAAAATTAGAAGAATGAAACTGGATGGTTTTGAGGGTGTTTCCGTAAACACACAATTTTGTTTTCTCGGCCTAATTGTCTGTATGCTGTTATGGCCTATTCCAGACAGAATCAGTGTTTGGTCTTTGATTAATATTTTTTACTTTATTTTATTTTATCAAACTACAGCAGCTCATGCAGAGTACTCAAGACGGGCCTTATCCTTCAATTGCACTGACGCCAGAAGCCTGAAAGACTTCACTGTTAACGATGTACAGTATCTTGTGGTAACAGACCTCAAAAAAGGTATAAAATATGTGCATATATCACAACAACAAATACCTTTGGAGTGTCGCAAAGTGGGCACTTCAACTTTAAGTAGTACTCCTCATAGGAGTAATTCCCCCATATGTCAAACAAATTATTGAGTAATCTGCAGGCAAATTGCAGCCATCAATAAACTGCTGCCATGTTCATCGGTCCATCCCAACAGGATCATTTATGGGCCCAATGTCAGTCGGCAAATTAGCTTCAACACCCCCCCCCCCACACACACACACACCCACGTGTGTAAATGCCGGCAATCGTGGATGCCCCATTGTCCCTAATCCTCTTTCCTTTGTTTGTACTCTAACTTTTTAGCGACAGCTCTCATTGGTTTTGTACACGATTTGAGATCGTGGACGTTCGGTCAATCGTGGACGTATTGTTTGCGCCCCAATTCTTTTGTCCTACGTCCACGATTGCCGGTGTTTACACACGCATGCTTACACAGGCATAGAAGTGGGGTACTTCCTTCATGTCCTTTGTTCTCGTGTACTAAAATTTTGCAATGTCGCACACTAATTTCAAAATGCTCTTATTTTAACCAGAATTGATTTCCTGGGCTGAAATTCGGATTTAATATCCCTTTTCTAAAACTCTTCCATTTGCGACGGATCAACCCACCTCGGAAATTCCTAGTTTTTGAGTAACATTTATATATCTGTTTCGTGAAAAACTTGTGGGGTACCAAAACGGTACCCCGCAAGTCGGTGGGCATTCCTTGTGGGTTACCTCCCGTTGTTCTGGTACCCCATAAGGCAGTGTATACGTTCACCCATCTTCGTAAACACCAGCGATTATGGACTCCATATTGTCCCTAAACCACCATTCCTTTGTTTGTACTTAAACTTTTTAGCAACAGCTCTCATTGGTTTGTACACGAATTTCAATCGTGGATGTTCGGTCAATCGTGGACGTATTCTTTGTGCCCTAACCCTTTTGTCCTAGGTCCACGATTGCCGGTATTTACATACTCACACAAGTGTTTATTTACCTGCAATTGTGAACCCCCTATTGTCCCTCTTTTGTTTGTAATTTTTAGGAAGACCTGCCATATGTTTTGTACACGATCGTCAGTTGTGCACCTTCGTCAATTGTGCACCTTCTGGAATTGTGGACCCTATTGTCCTCTAATGCACAACTTCCCCTATTGAATGCAGAAACAAACGCACAAAGAAAAGTCTATGATACCCCCAGACTTCAAGTAAAGTTGGAAAGTTGACCATTACCTACCACTCTGAAAAATAGAACTTAAAAAAGGTCTCTCTCAAGAAGATGTCCTGGCATTGCTATTTTGAAGGACGAGTTTGCAAATCTTGGTTTGACATTTTGACAACAACAATTTTGCCACTCCAAGACAATCAAGACAGTATGGTCCAAGAACCTTGACTCCAGAGTGGAAGTCAGCACACTGGGTTCCAGTGCAACCCATTCATGGACACATCCAATTCTAAACAACACCTGACTTTTCTTGACAGGTCGAGTCACGTTACTCAGGTGGGACGAAGATGACAGGGAGTTCCGGACGCAGCAAATTCTGTACGTGGAGAAACCTTACAGTGCAGAGGTAGTGCAGCATCGAGGCCGGCTTCTACTCCTGGTGGCTGTGTTTGATGGGCAGCAATGCGGACAATGTGGCCTTCTCCGCAGCCCTGTATATCAGTGGGACCACGTAGCAGGCAGGTTCAATGAGACCTCCATTCAGGAACTCCCGTCATCCAAGTACATACGCTGGTTTCTGGACAGACACAACGGGGAAAGTACTGCCTTCCTTGTGATTGGACGCTGCACCTGCGACACGCTGTTGTACTCGTGGGACAGGCGTGCCAACCAGTTCCAGAAGATTGACCAGCCCGACTTTGGAAGGGTGCCCGATAGTTCAGATATCGTGGTTCAGTCGGTCCGACACCAGAGAACACAATACACTCTCTCAGCTCAGTTGAAGGGAGACTCTTCAATCGATCATGCAATCTCGGTCTCCCGATGGTCGCAAAGCCAGGGGATGGTTTCGCAGAGACATTTAGATGTAAGAGTGCATGGTTCTGCTCAGCAAGGATTGAGTGTCCATCAGTACAAAGGCCAAGTCTTCATGTGCACCATTACCAAAGGCAATCGGAGAGGCCTGATGACCACCATCTCCAAGTTACAGTTTGAAAGTGACAATGACTCGTTCTCAGTCAGTAAAACTGAGGTTGGTCGGACAGAAGACAAAAACCATTACCAGTCTTTCTGTACACTCTTTGTCAATAATCACGACAAGGAGCTCTACGTAGCCGTCGGATACTATACTCGGCCCACGAGTCTGATGAGATACAGCCTGATAACGGACAGCTTCTCAGATGCCGGGGAGCTGTCCCAGGACATTGGTGCATTCGACCTGGTGACTTTCCAAAACGGGGATGATTTCTTCATTGCCACAGTCACCAACACCACATCGTTAGGGTGCAGAGTTAATTTGTTCAGTGCAGATTTGTAAAACCAAATCCAAAAAAAAAAAACCCAATATTTTGAAGAGACTTCATGAGGTGTGCAGTGGTTGCTGAAAGAAATAACAGGACACCACAGGATCTTATTTGGGCCAATGAGCATCAGGCCTAGAACAATGGGCATACATTCTGTGAACAGTTTGCAAGGGATTTGAACTATCTGCGAAATTTGCAGAAATGCAGAATCAAGCATGAATCATTGGGCTCACTACAGGGTGGTGCAAAAACAAGAAAACCTGCTTTTGACAGCAATTTTAACCTACTAACTTAACTTATTTGAACTGTTTTTTTTTTTTAATGAAGTGAAGTATAGCTGAACCATACGCGTTGAAAAAAATCTTTAAAAAAATCCCAAGAATAGTGTAGCTAATTTGAATATTAGTCACCAAAATCACTCTTGTCCACGTGTAAGTCTAGTGTAGTTTTTTTGGTCTTCAAGTCCAGCTCCGGAGCTCAGTCAAGCGGATGGACTAAAGCCGTCCGTGGACAAACAGGTTTGGCACATGATATTTTTTTAACTAACATATCTCAGAGACAAAATGCATTTGCAAACATTTTTCGTCACTTGTGTTTCAAGATCAATACTTGAATACCATTCAATTGAAATTTCGAAATTTCCTCAACAAATAGGTGAAAATTGCTGTCAAAAGTGGGTTTCCTTCTTTTTGCATCACCCTGTATTTCCCATCCGGTGGGATGGTACTGTTGCACATGAGGTTTTACGAAACCACAAACTTGGATTTATGACCTAACACGCTAACACAGCCGAAGCATGTTTCCCTTTTCCAGGCAAATTAACACACGCTTTCAAATATCTGTGTGTACATTGGAAACGATACTACCCCCCTTTGAATTCCAATGCAATTTGCTGTGTTTTTCCATTAAGACATCATGTCATCTCTAATGACCAAATACTGCACTTTTTATCAAAACATTAGCCTTTTGAAATTATATGGCAGTCATAAAAGGAGGGCAATATTTTGTGCGGGTAAACTTTTTTGACCCAAACCACACAGCTGATTGCATTGCGACAACGTCACTACCTGTATTTTTTTTGTAAATACTCCCACGGCATCATTTTTTTATCTAACAATTTTTAACCTTCTCTGAATCCTCCCAAAAATCCACTGTACTGTGCGGGATTCCAAGATGGCATATTCTTGGCACTAATTTAGACTGTCAAGGAACATTAAACCCAAATAGTAATTGGGCTGCTCTTAACTGATTTTAGCCCCATAAATGTGGCCTATTTACTGGACTACCTCCGTAAACATAGGCCACACATCCACATGTACAAAAAAGTGTCGCACTTTGCCAAATTTTGATTTTCGCATTAAGGCTTAGTTCGTAGGGTTTTTTTGCTTTAGAAGCATACTCACCCTCTTTATAGGCTAATCAGAAAGTGCTGCCTTTTTCAGATGTATATTTTTTTTTCGTGAAATTTCCAGATTCATTTTTACACGTTTGCGTATCAAAATTTCAACATGAAATTTCACAAAAATTAGACATCCGAAAAAGGCAGCACTTTCTGACTAGCCTATAAAGAGGGTGAGTATGCATCTAAAGCAAAAAAATCCTACAAACTAAGCCTAAATGTGAAAATCAAAATTTGGCAAAGTGCGACACGTTTTTGTACATGTGGATGTGTGGCCTATGTTTACAGAGGTAGTCCAGTAAATAGGCCACATTTATGGGGCTTAACTGATTTATGCATAAAAATCTTTCAAACCCTGGTACTTTTTTGGTAGTGGTTTTTGAAGAATTTGGGAGGATAAGCGTTAGGCCAATTAAAACAAAATCATGTCTCAGGAGCCGTCAGCCTTACTACCAGATTTTGTACTTGCACACATCGCTTCAATTTTGCTGGAAACACATAAAAAAGGCAAAATATATGAAAGCAGCTAAATCTTCTTCTCAAAAAGTGTCTTATTGCCGGCTGTAATCGAATAATTTACCATATTAAAAAAAAACACTTTTTTTTTCAGTTTACAAATGCTAAGCAAATTTGATGTCATCCTTTGTCAAACTAGAAATGAGTTCCACTTATTGAGTTTAATAATGTCAAAGTTGCCATCTCAAATAAAAATAAGAAATTTACATGTACCTTATTTTTTTTTGGGGGGGAGAGGGGAATTTGTATTCGTGCACGTGTAAATATGTAAATATTTAAAGTTTTCCACAGAAAGTTCTCTATTTTACTCAGATACCTTGAAAAGGGGTTTATATTTGTATTTTAGAAGCGTATTTCAGCATTGATGTCAAAGATTTCTAAGAGAGCCGGTGTCAATTTGTACAAAAGTAGATGGAGAAAGTCTTGAGTCTTAAAATGGGTTAGCATGATTAATTGGGGCATTGAAGATGATGTAAACACATGCTTGGAAAGTTTTGGTGGCATATCAAAATTTTAATTTTGAATTTTCACCATTTTTAGACTTTAGAGACGCTTGCAAAGAACACTTTGCAAACATGAGTTGTAAGTGATTTCTTTTTATGCATCTGTTGAAGGTTTTTTCAATGCTTTGTGATAGAAATGATCATTTTAATCTTTGTGGTAATTTATTGTTAAACCGAAGAGTGGTTATAATTGAATGCAGCCAATAAGTGACTTTCATGTAAATATTAATGCAAATTTGATGTACAGTAGCAAGGTATGAATTTATGGTTTTAGAATACGTTTTGTTACAAATACTGGTTTTAGGTTTTCCCCAAACAAGTTTGTAAATGTAAATTTCTTTCTCAGAATTCCACCGCAAAAATACTTGGAATTAACTTGGACCAAAGCTTAGCCAAACAGCTGTGTTTGACAACTCAATGCGATGATCTCATCACGACAAACGTCTTGAAAGAGGCGTGGTCCGATAGTGTGCCAATGGCCACGTACACATTTGAACGATTCTGCTTGGCCATTAGATCTCTAGTTCCATGTGTGCACCTGCATGTCCTGAGAGATAAGAGGGACCATCAGAAACGATGCGTGTACAAGTGATGTATGCTGCTCAGTAAAAAGTTGTCTGATAAATGACCCTTTTATGTTTGTTGTTTATTGGGCACGGTATTAGGAGTGTGCAGTTCGCATCAAAATGTGGAGACATAGGTGCCAGGGGCTTGGTAAAATTCCCACATAAAAAGGTGAAGTAATCCGCAACTTTTTCCGAGCTGCATATATGCATCCTGTACATGCATCATTTCTAATGGTCCCTGTATCTAGGCATGATGTCTATATCCACAACAAGGAAAACCAATTCTTTATTCTCAGACTTTTAAATTTCGAGGGGCTTCAGGCCACTTGAAAAAGTAATAGTGGCAAAAAAGCAATCCTGCAAAATTACTCAACTGTTTAGTGCAGAAACCCAATGGCACCATGTTTGTACCCGATTCCATCAAAATCCAAACCCTTTTTGGAGAATTCCTGCGGATTCAGGATACCAGTACCTCCATATTGAAAAAAGTAGGGTTAAAAGAAAAATAGTAAAATAAAAGGTCCTTTTTTGTGAGAAAATAAATCAGTGCTTACCTTTAGCATTGTCACGTGTAAGACAGCAGATTGATCTCATAACTCCCATCAACCTAAAAGACAGCAAAGACATTTTTATTTGGTTTAAAATTGTGAAGACGAACTGTCCATGCTGTTTGTGAATTTGAACCTGAACAATTGATTTTATTTAATTGCTTTCAAATTTCAACAATACGAATGTTGTTCACTTTTGAATGAGACGTTGAATGAAAAAAAAAATTAGTTATGGATTACTTTACAAGTTTCAAATTTTGTGCGGCATATATTATTTCGTTGGGTGCACCATGAAGTGACTTGTTGTCTATGGACTTTGTTCACACAATGCCACTTTGTGGTGCTACCAACGCTTTGTGTATCTCTCCCCCTCCCCCTAAAACAAATTTCCATAGGGTTGCGGATACCCCCACAAATAAAAAAAAAATTGTTGAAATGAAACAAATTGATAATTTGAGAGAAAAAAAAATATGACATTGTTGAGAAGCAGGGATAATATATCTTTAAAAACCTTTTCTTTATGTCTGAGCCTACTTCTGTGAAACTTAAATAAATGAAACCACGGGACAGTCTATTTTTGCGGAGAGTGCAAATCAAATTGATTTGTTATTGTTAAATTGAATGTAAACAGTTCTTCACAAAAAAAAGCACCACCTATTAAAACGATCATCTTTAGTGTGTTATGGCTATCAACAATGATTAACCCTAGCCATGCTAACCCCCTAGAGTGATTCACTAGGAACCCTTCCTCATTCTTGCAAATTCCAACACCATATGGTAAACTCAACACCCAAACTGTTGGACTCTGATTATGGTGGTATGCCTGACCCCATGTCAAGCACATATCAGTTTACTAGTGCAGTCCTCACTCCAACAGATTCCAACAAAACATGCAGTTGGATTTTGAAGGGTTGGGGTTATAGGATACAATTCAAATTCTGATAAATGAAATGAATGGGACAAATGATATGGTCCCCGGTATGTAGCAGATACCTCATGTTGTACATGTAAATAATGGACACTGTGCATAAGTAACCCTCTCAATCCATTAAGTCCCGCCCACGATATTTTGACCAATCACAGGCCTGATTGAGCAACCAGATCTTCCAACAAAAGTTCAACATGTGCATGACGTGTATGGTTGAATCATGCAGTGTGGCATTGGAGAGGTACACATGTTGTTGCCCACACATTACGTGTGAAAATAAAACATGTCCTACTTTTGATCCTAAATAACTCTGTTGTTTACCAATGGAATTAAACCAAAATTTCACTTCATGTAAACAAGGCATGACAAATTTTATGGAGAAAGTTTCATCAGCCTTGAGGGTGAGATTTAAATGCCATACGAAAAAAAAAAAACTCCCTTTCAGAATCTGCTACTTTCGCCTTAATAGCGTCCTGAGCCGTCCTCCAATGTCGATACAGCGCTGGAGACAGTGGTGGAAGGCACGTCCTGCGGCCAAAAGCTTCTGAAGGAATGCAGGATCACTGCACACCTCTTCGATCGTCTGGCACAACACATGATCGAGGTGGAGTGCAATGACATCAGGGGTGATCCTGCATTCCTTCAGGAAAATTCAACCGCAGCACGCACCTTCCACCACCATCTCCAGTGCTGTATCGATATTCTGAAAGTGAATATTTTTTTTCGTATGGCGTTTAAATCTCACTCTCTTGCACAAAGCTGATGAAACTCGCTCCATAAAATTTGTCATGCTTTGTTTACATGCTCTAAAATATTTGTTTAATTCCATTGGTAAATAACGGATTTATTTAGGATCAAAAGAAGAACATGTTTTTTTGACAAGTAGTAGGTCAGTGTATGAGCTCCGTGTGTGAACAAGAGAGGGCGCACTTTCAAGCGCCTCGTGGACGGGACACACTGCATGCAAGTACATATCCGCGCGGATAATGTACGAAGTACGCAGGATTAATTTTATTCTGAATGTCCACAAAGCCATAGTGTCTTTGCGTGGGCGCAAGGCATCGTCAGCAATGCGTTTGAATATCTCCCCCAGTTGTCACCCCAACTCTCCCTTTCTCACCGTTGAGGGGGTACTTGCGCACAGAAGCCACTGTGACAGAGAGGCACGACATACACTATGAAGGTATTTTGCATTGGGGAGATGTACTCCTTCACGTCGGTGAAGGACGAAACCCGATATGAACACCATCTACTCACGTCATATCTGCCGAGTGATGTTTGCGTTTGGTTACTACGCATGGTCTCTGTCAGGGCCCATAGGTGCTGTAAGCCAGCTGTGATCTTGTCCACAGGTGGAGAATCCTATAAATTACAGAAAGAAAGAAATGTTTCCGTGTATTAGTCCCTTCCTTTACCAAAATGAGTAGTGTTAAGTGACATTTTTGCAGACACTTTGATGTATGGGGCATTCTGTGAATTTGGTGTCCACTTTTTTTTCCTGTCCCTGTTTCATCTGACATCTGTGATTTTATAAATTTGATGCACTCCTTAATGCAGTCATCCTCCTAGCAAACTACCTACACAACAAATACAGAAATTGTTTGATGTATTCTATATTAAAATTTAGGATCCCAAGTGTGATATTTTTCCTGCCCTGCCTTGAAACTTTGTAATTTGCCATTCAAGTATCATTAAGAACGACTGCAAAATTTTTGTTTGTTTGTTGTGTATACAAACAAGTATATGGAGCATTATCTGCAATATTGAACCCTAACCGCCCTGAATCCTTCAAAATCCTCTTTGCCAAAGTGGAGGAATTTGGAGGATTGAGGTTACATGGCAAAAGTGTGTTACTGATTTCGTAGGATGCACTTTGTCAAGGTCTTGGGCCGGACCTTGTGTAGTTTTTGCTCAGCCATGCATAAATATAGGCCTGGATTATGTTTGAAATCCTCCGTACTGCTCCAGGATGTCACTGGCCAAGCCTCAACATATTGACAGTCACTTTTGCAGGATTTTGCAGGATTCAGGCAGTGGTCACCCCTCCACGGACCATATTCAAGAAATAATGGAGGAATTTGCAGGATTGAGGCTACATGCTATTTCTCCATGAGGCCAATTGGAAGATTTTGCAGGATTGAGGCTACATCCTAGCAAAAAGGCCCAGGGAGTTAGGGTTAATAAAGCAGGAATTGTGTAAATTCAGGACTTACCGTACATCCCTGGAAAATATTGATTACATTCACTAAAAGAAATAAAATTGCAGAAAAAAAACTTGGCACAGTATCTACTACATAAAAATGAGTGCCCCTCCAGAAAATGAAGCCTCATTAAGTGCCCCTCCCCCTTCAAGCTAAACCCCATTTGCCACTCGAAGGGGTTCGAATCCCACCAGCTCACCTCTGCTTGTTTCTTTGACGCTTGTTTTGGGCTGGAGTCAGTCAGGTGCTGGTTCTCAAGTAGCCAGGCTGTGACCGAGGTCGACCTCTCGGACTGTTCAAAGTGAAGAAAAGGAGAACAACTTCTGAAAAGAGGGCTTTCTTTACATTGCTTTATTTTAAGCCCGTCACACATCCAAGACCAAAGACCAAGACCCCGCCAAGACCATGAGATTTAAAAATATCTTGACAATCGTACCAAAAACGTAGGAAATGTGGCGCCAAATTCAAATTTCGTCTTCTGAGCTCCAATCTGCAGACCATGATCAGAATGTGCTGCAATGTCGTCCCGAATACTTCGACTCCAAAATGACCTAGAACCGAATATTACGACTTCGCTAAGAATTGGATCCATTTCATTGATTTGTTTTCACGACTGAGTCTCGATCTCGTTACGAAATAACCGACAGAGTACCGACACAACTTATTGAGTACTGACATAAAAGAGTGACATCATCTTCGGAATTTCACGTCGTAATGGTCGTTTCATAGTCGGCTAAAAAAAAAAATCGCAAATACTATTGCGATGTCATTAAGACTTCTTTACGACAACACCGTTTGAGTACAGACAGGGAACAGACTCTGATCCACTTTGGATTTTTTTTGCCAACCATCACAATATGGTTCAACTGTTGAAACTAATTGTGGCTCCACTGCTGACCATGCACGACCAGTAGGATGCCGAAATGGCGCTCAAGAAGTCGCTCTGATAAAGTTCAGACGTTGTTCCGAGTTTCAAGATGTCGTCGAGTCTTGCGTCTCAGCACTGTCCTATCGTGATCGGGAGGCTACATCATGACAGTGTGACAGGGGCTTTATTCACTTTCCCTTCACTTCCCCCCGACATAAATTCACTTGCATGTTTCAATTTTTATTCTGCACTTGCACAATCCGATACTGTCGTTGCTTGAGCACCAGGCCCACAGAGGCAATGGCTTGTGCATAGAGTCGGTACAAACCTTAGTCTCTGGTGGGAGGACGGTCACTTCCTCGATGCCAAAGTGAGCCCAGACTGGGGAGGGTTGCAGCAGTACAAGACGCACTGCGGTCACTTCGGTTGGTTCAAACAGCATCTGGGGGAACAGAGAGGGAACAAAGCAAAACAAACAAGAGCCAGTGAGTGTCGTTATATTGCCCTCATGGCTGAAGTAGGCACTACACTGCGGGTTCAAGTAGTGCACAGTGTCAATATGTTGAGGCTTGGCCAGTGACATCCTGGAGCAGTACGGAGGATTTCAAGCATAATCCCGGCCTATATTTATGCATGGCCGAGCAAAAACAACACAAGGTCCGGCCCAAGACCTTGACAAAGTGCATCCTTCAAAATCAGTGACGCATTTTTGCCATGTAACCTCAATCCTCCTAATTCCTCCACTTTGGCAAAGAGAATTTTGAAGGGTTCATGGCGGTTAGAGTTAAAGGGAATATACATCATTTGCTTTTGCTGTAATTTTCAGAAATGGATGGAATTTGGGGGGTTGGAAATATATAGCAAATATAGTTACACTGACTTTTTTGAGGTTTTGGGTTCGAAAATGCTATAAAAACCAAGAAAAACAATCATTTTCCTGTAGTCTGGTTCCCTGACTCCATTTAAGAAGAAACAGAGCAGTTTACATACATTGGGGAATTGTAAGGTCAGGGAACCAGTCTAGCTGGCTTGTACCCGTTCATAGGTGTGTAATCAAATGCAAACAAGTGCGATGGTCAACTGGGGCCAGTATTTGAAAAAAAGCCAATTTTTTTCCAACGCTGGTCGGCCGATCAGCATTGGAAATTGATACAAAAATACCACTTTTCTTGAAAATGACAGTATACCAGGTGCCATGATTTTACAGGATGCTTTACATAGTCATTCACTAACAGTCCAGCAAGGTATTTCAAAATGATTTGGTAGTTTTATTTTTTGATGTTTGCAAATGTTGTATTTTCCCTTTAATATTTGCATGTAGCTGTTAGTGTTACGTCTGTTTTGTCCGTTGTACCTGTGATCTTGTGATGGTGAAGTAAGCTTGACTGTCCGTCTCAGTGTGTGGATCCGGCATGAGACGAAGCTGCTTCACGCAATCCCTCCATTGCGCTTCATCTGTAATGCACACATTGAAAAACAAATGTCACAAATATAGTTTAGTGCCAGATGCAAACTGTCTGCTTTTTACACAAAATATGATGTACATTGATGTTGGAGAATACGGCCAGATTAAAGCCAGAGTCCATCATTTGCAGCTATCCAAAAGTAACTGGCGTAATTATTGTTGAAAAACATACTTGGCTGAAAGACGGTAAGGGGACTAAACTCCCTGTGAAATTATTCTTTCTGGCAAGCTGTCATTTTGAAGAAATCAACGAAAGAAGGCCTTTCCTACGGTGCGTCTTAAGAAGCACCGTTGGAAATGTCCGTTAGTAGTTCGTTTTTTTATTTGGCGAAGCACGCGCAAGCGTTGACACGACGCACACGCGCGCGTGGTTGTTATAATTTGTTGAATCTGTGCGCGACATCGCGTAGCTGCAATTGGCTAGTGAGAACGTGTCTCAGACGCTGAATTCAGGCCCAATTCAAAACATGATTCAGCAACTTTTGATTTGAAATCGAGATCCTAGAATGTTGTTTTTCTCGAAATATACAGCTGAAGCTGAGCTGAAACTTCATCAGGTTAGTTGTTCAGCACCTTTCTTTAGATTTTGAGCACTTTTGTTGCCTCAAACGAAAAAAAATGTACAAATTACAAATGATGGACTATACGTTTAAGTACCAATTAAAATATTAATAATAACAATATGTTGGGCATATACAGCACTTTCTATCAAATTATTGAATAGTTGAACAAAGAAACTGACTGGAGTGGGGTTTGAACCTGCGACCTCTGGATTACCGCTTCAGTGCTCTATCAACTGAGCTATCCAGCCCTAATTCGTCAATGTCTTTGTTCAAGGGGCGCTAGTCTACCAAAGATAGATCTTAAAGGTCTTATTATCTCTGTTCATCAGGCCATGAGACCACTTTTCCGCAGCCGAGATCAGCGCAATCTGGTCTCCACCCTTACATGTACCCATTTATACTCCTGGGTGAAGAGAGGAAAATGAAGTAAAGTGTCTTGCCCAAGAACACTAAAGCCGTGTTCCCTGTCAGGATTTTAACCCACAATATTTGAACGCATCACATGGGTCGAACACCGTAAAAATTGGACCACATTGCTCTGCAGTGTGAAAATGGCCATTTGATTTCGAAAATTGAAATGTCTTTATTTGTCATTATCTGCTCCGTTTTCATTCAGCATCCAGCCTCTAGTAAAACCAGAGACAACTATCTGTTTCTTTATTATTAATTCCTTAAAGGGATTGTACATCATTGGCTTTTGCTGTGATTTTCAGAAATGAACTATTTGGGGAGTTAGTATGATAGATCAAATATTGTTACACTGACATGTTTGAAGCTTTGTGTTCGAAAATGCTGGAAAAACCAAGAAAAACAAAAATGTTCAAGTAGTCTGGTTCCCTGACTCCACTAAATACAAAATGGATCAATTTAAAGTTGCCGAAAAATTGTAAGGTAAGGGTACCAGTCTAACTGGCCTGCACCCGTCCATGAACATGTAACCAATAGCAAACAAAATTTGGACTGAAAAAAAAATGGTAAGTTTGGAGCAGTAGTTAAAAAATAGTTAGGTTTTTCCCAACGGTGGTCGGCCGACCACTGTTGGAAATTTTTACAAAAATAACATTTTCTTGAAAATGACTTCACACCAAGTGCCATAATTTTACAGGATGCTTTAGACTGTCATTTACCAACATCATAGTAAGGTATTTCGTAAAAATTTGGTAACGTTATTTTTCGACGTTTGCGAATGTTGTATATTCCCTTTAACTTAACTGGCATCCACACTCTTCTTCTATGTTAAACACACAATTCTGTTTCATGAATCATAGGCTAAGCTCTGTTTGAACTTAAAATAGTTGAAAGTAACCGGGAAAGAATGTTGCAACCTGAGGCTACTTCATCGGATGTGTACAAAGTCTACGGAGAGTCAAGACAATTTTCAAAAAGAATTTCCTAACAAAATTGGAAATGTTTCTTAGTCTTAGATCTTTTATCATCATTTTTGCAATGAATGCCCTTATATGATATATGAAGAAAAAAGTGGGGTCAGGTTGTAACATTTTTCGAGTAACTGTTTGCAAATCATGTATTTGTGCATTCAGTGAACCACCAAAGTTTGAGACGTGCTTTAGAGAGCCAATAATTTATTGTACATGTACAAACGTCTTACCACTCCTGTATGTCTCGGAATTTGCTTGAACCTTGCATTTTTGGGGGGATTTACGGTCACAAAGAGCTCAGTGTAACTTGGAGGAAAATGTTTCAACCTGACGCCACTTTTTTCTTCATATATCTTCTCAATGAAGGTCGTTCATTGCAAAAATGATGATAAGACATGAATCTTGGACTGAGACACATTTCAAATTTTGTTAGGAAATTTACTTAGAACATTTTCTTGACTCTCCACAGACTTTGTTAACAGTAGCGGAAGTGGCGTCAGGTTGCAACATCTTTTCCTAACTTGGTATTGAATATTGATCAATATAATTAAATCCCATGCATGTAACTACAAAACCACTAAGGCCAAAAAAAAAAGTCTCCAGTTTCTGGTATGCGTGCGCGTCGCTGTAGCCATGCGCATCTGCAAAATTAAAAAGTTTTTTTTTCAATGTAACATGACGTCTCAAAACCGCCAAACTCACTGGTTTGACTGGAATTCTGCTGTTGCACAATTTTAACGTGTTTTTAGATGGGATTACGCTCTAGTATAAGCTTTATGTGGGCTTTCTTGGCTCCCATATATTTTGCACTAAATTTAGTTGAGCATCATAATCATATGCAGTCATCAACCGACATTTGAAGAAAAAAAAGTAAAAAAAGTAAAAAAGCCGCGTCGCCGCACCACTTTTGGGGCACTTTTGGGGCAAGCTCCATACCAGAAACCGAAGACTTTTTTTTTTGGCCTAATGTATTTCAAAGCTAATGTTTCTTCTCAGTCTTTGCTGACCATGCAAACAACAACCTAAAAAAAGTACAGTTTGCAATCCTTAAGTTTACGATACCTTTCTCATTTGGTGGTTTGCACTTGACTTTGACAAGAAGGAAAGCTGTGTAGTTGTTTCTGAATGCGATACTTCCAAGCTGAAAAAAAAAACCACCATCAGATTTCATTTTGGGATTGTTCTTCCAACATTAGAACTCCCATTTTCTCCCAATATTTTGTCTTTATTCATGCCTTATAAAAAGGCACATGGCTGTCATGATTTCGAAAAATCTGATATTTGAATTTAAATAGAACAAGTGTGAAGATGCCCCCAACAAATTTTAATCACAATTTCCTGTGAAAATGGGTCATCAAAATGAACAGTGCCCTCAGATATTTAATATTTTATAAATATTGATGTTTTCACAACTTTTATGTGTTATTAATATTAATTTTTGTGCGATAAAGAATTTTTATTTAATACTAATAGTAATATAGGGGCCTATATATTTTTCAAATTTATGAAATGTTTAGCCGATAACTTAATATCATGTTGGGATGCGAGCAAACTCCAAGCCTAAAAAGTTCATTCTCATGGCCCATGCTACTCCTAGAACTATGATGCTCACGCGGAACATCATAGTTAAACTAGGAGTAGGCCCATGCAACATTTTCTACGCAGAGGAAAATGGAAAGGGTGTTGCAACATGACGCTACTTCAGTGGTTGTGTACAAAAAGTCTATGGAGAGTCAAGAACAGTTTCTAAGTAGATCCTAACAAAATTGACAATGTTTCTCAGTCCCACTAATATGTCTGATGAAAAATGAAGAAAAAAGAAGTGTCAGCTCTGGCAATACAGCTTGCAACACTATAAACAGTAACATTCATTGAATAGCGAAAACAAGTCATCAGCCAAAATGTCATACTTAAAGACTAGTTCTCATTTTTTTTTTCTTTTTTTTTTTACTCAGAACTTAAATTTGATCAGCCGCTCAGCTAAGTTTTTAGTTTACCCATCAAAATTATAACTATAGAGGGCGCTTTCACTGATATGCAGTGCGTGCAGCAAAATGCTCTTCTTACGTCAAAATATTGGACACTTTGAAGTGTGATATCGATGACAACAACTCCACTGCTGACATTGTCTTTCTGATCACTTATTCTTATTTCTAACGGCTTTTTGACTACACAATTTATTCCAACCACTTTATCGTTCATAGCTGCAAAAACAAGTTAGTTGGTGAGAAAAAAAATGCAGGACCAACGAGCTGTCACTGTCAAAACGGCCGCCATATGCAAAATAGAAATGCTAGGTTCTACGTCTCACGATAATTTATTAATTTCATTTAAAGTAGCACCATTTGCTTTTTTGTTAATTTGTAAAACAATATAAATTTATAAAATATTTTAGGACATCATAATGACATTTTATTGCATCTTTATTTGATGTCACAATTTATTCAAGTTGAACGAGCCTGCGAAGCCATGGTGATGCGAACAATTGCTCCATAGCAACAACAACCAAAGCTCGGGATATGATATCGACGATCGTCGGAAGTTTCCGGAAATAAATAGTCGACAGTTTGCACCAACAACGCACAAGCCATCGGACGTACAGCGCCTCATTTTTAGCAACAAACGACAAAGGTCCAAGTTTCTGCCCAGCCTAAAGCAGTATATAGACATTTGTTATAATAATGGCAGCTGCTGAAAACAGACTGAATCTTCCAGAGGAGGTAATTTGTATGTAATTTGCAGTGTGTTTTACCATCCCATGGAGGAATAAGAACGGAAATGGGTCAACTCGTACCCGAGTTAACTCGTACCCGAGTCAACTCGTACCCCAAAATTGACACCCAAGTCAAGTCGTACCCGAGTTAGGTCGTACCCGAGTCAAGTCGTACCCCAGTCAACTCGTACCCGAGTCAAGTCGTACCCTAGTTGACTCGTACCCGAGTCAATTCGTACCCGCAGCTCAAAATAGTTGCCTATTTTCGAAAAGAAAATCAGTGAAACGAACGGAAGTTCGGAGGGATATGGCCGGTTGTCCGTGCACGGTGACATCGTTTATGCCGAGCCAGTGCGCGCACTCGCCGGTCAACGTGGTCGTACCGTGCACAGTGAGGTCGTTTTTGCCGGGCCTGTGCGCGCACTCGCCGTTCCACGTGGTCGTCCGCGCACGGTGACATCGTTTTTGCCGGGCCTGTGCGCGCTCTCATCGGCCAACGTGGTCGTACCGTGCACGGTGATATCGTTTTTGCCGAGCCTGTGCGCTCACTCGCCGGTCAAAGTGGTTGGGCGTGCACAGTGTTTTTGCCGTCGCGTAGTTAGTGTCGGAACCTTCGCCGTTTTTCAACGGCATTAGGCCTTGGTGTAAGTTGTAGTTGTACATATTTAATACGGGGCTAATTTTCATACTTCAAATAAATGTTCTTCCCAAAGTATGCATGCTTTTATCACTTTATTTTATTTTTCTATTACAGATGATCCTGTGGTTTTCCGATGAACCATTTTTTGCTGCTCAAACCGATCGATCGGATTGTCTGTCACACAGTTCATGATGAATCGAATCGGATGTCAAGTTTTGAGGACGAAACCCGATTAGCTCAGTTTTGTTTAAGATAAAACTTTCTCTTGCACTTGGATTACAATTTGCTAATGTCAAACAATCTTTCACACCCAAGGATCAGCTAACAAGTTGGTCCCCTAAAACTTATAGAAAGAGCATCTCTGAGTGAAACGAGCCCCCATTTTCCTTTATCGTTTTTACTATAATTCCTTGATGCCTCAAATGTAAACAAATTATTAAAAATCCTGCATTTCTGTTACCAAAATAATATTCTAGTTGAAACTTTATTTGAGCTGCACAATATTTTTTTAAAGACATTTTCCGAACCAATTGTACAAAAAATGACCAACATATTAAAGAATCATTATAAATTAAATAACGATGTCAGTGTGACTCTTTTAAGTTTCCTGTAATATATTTTCTCTTCAGATTTGTACTTTCAGGGCCCCCAATCTTCCCAAAGAGATTCGTACCATGTGCAGTTATTATTCAATAAATGATGCCAAAAATGGAGTGAGTGAACGTTGAAAAATATTACTTTTACATTACAAAATTCATTTTTTAATAGCGACTTTCTTTTAAAAAAAATACTAAATTCGTAAAAAGAAAACTACGCCCTTAAAACACGTTCGACTGAGCAAACCGAACAAAAAAAAGACGTAGAAGTTCGCACAGTCACTCCGCAATCTCAGTGATCCAGGGTCTCTGAAAAAAAAGAAAAAAATAACATCATTAGTATTACTAAGAGAAAATACTATACAAATGTTAAAATAACACATCTGATGATCTGGATGAAAAGTGAAATTTACCGTTTATCAGCGAGGGCTCTGTCGACTCGCGAGTACCACACTGATGCCGTTTTGAAAATGTTCTCCGCGCGGTACCCATCGCGATGAAGCCCTTGCCGATGAACGGTACATTTCCCCTTTTCACCCAGATTGTGAGCAACATTTGATACCACCGCCTTCAACAAATCCTTGAACTTTATTTGTATTTCTGGCGGCGTAACTACTATTTCTCAGTCGCCGTTTTTGAGGGTAAAATCGGACGTTTTTGTTAACCATCCATCCGTACTTCCAAACTAAAACAGGAGGGGAGTACGAGTTGACCTGGGTGCGAGTTGACCCGGGTACGAGTTGACTCGGGTACGAGTTAACCTGGGTACGAGTTAACTCAGGTACGAGTTAACCTAGGTACGAGTTGACTCGGGTACGAGTTGACTCGGGTACGAGTTGACTCGGGTACGAGTTGACTCGGGTACGAGTTGACCCAAAATCATAAGAACAACTATAAGTTAGCGCCATGCGGCCGGCCACAGCCGGCCAGCACATGCAGTGCACCGTCTGATCTCTTCCTGAAGAACTTCAGAAATCTTCAAAAGCTCAATGAGTCCTCATCAAATTTAACTTGTTCCTATTGTATTGGCCCGTTTTATTGGCTTAATTAGGCTAGCACGACTAACCAAAACCTTAATTCAATAACTAATTAAGGATTACTTTTTAGGCCCCCCCCAAAAAAAATTAAATCCTAAAAATAAAATGTAAAAAAAAAAACATGTTTCTCGTCCGAGTTTTTGAAAAAAAAGGAGGAAGAGGGGCTTTTTATTTTTTATTTGTTTTTCAAGATGGCCGTCATTTTAAAATTTCCTGCAACCGTTGGTGTTTCCACTGTTCAAAGACACTTTTACAATGAAAGACAAGTTGGACAAGAGAACTGAACATATTATTAACAGTGTCATTTAGAGTGTACTTGTATACTATTGGTACTATTGGTATTTATTTTCTGATGAATTTGTGGACTTTTTCTGTGTTTTTTTACTGCATTTTTCAAAAATAGAAAATAATTTTAAAAATTCAGGCAGCCTCAATAAAGGAAGCGGGCAGGGACGAGAAACATGTTTTTTTTTACTTCGCCTTATATGCCAGATTTCTTGGCAGAGTATAAAAATAGACCAGTTTCTCATCCCCGCCCACTTCCTGCCTGCTTTGTTTTTTTAAAAGTTCATAATCATACATTTGCGATGTATTTTGCAAAGTATAATTTGTCATATTGTAGTTTTTCAATTCAGCCGTTTTACTAGTTCCGGATAGCAAACATCATTCAGGCTGCTTTCAGCTCAACTATTCCACGAATTCAAGTGACATTGGTTAAAACAATGCTTGAGTGATGGAGATACTACAAAATAATTTTCCAAACTTAAGCTCTTTTTATTTTGACTTTACGACATCAAAAATACCGATGCCACTTTACCTAGTTCCAGATTGTTTTAATCAGTTCGGAATCGATAAAAAAAGAAGCGATCCGGAAATAGGAAAAAACTGGAACTAGGAAAACGACTGTAAAATGTTTTTTTAAAATTATTTCCAACAAAATTGTGGCTGGGAAAGGGTAACAGCTCTTTTGGACAAAGGCCTTATTGTGCAGCAGCAAAAGAATCGAGAAAATAGAATAATCCAGCCACCTTCTGCGAAAATCCGCCATCTTGAGAAAAAAAAGGAGGGGGAGGGGCTGCCACCTTAAAGCCTACCTTTTTTCTCTCAGCCTTATCATAATTCAACGTTCGGTTATGAGCTTTCTGCAGCCATTGGATTAAGTTTGGAACTTCAAACAAACATTGACATTAAATGATTTTTAAGAAAAATCAAACTTAGGCTAATCATGCAACTCAGTAGCCTATGAAACCCTAGCTTGAGTAACTCATGCTCCAATGCTTACAGCATTCTAAATTAATGCGATAAGCATTGGAGCTGGACTTACTCAAGCTAAGAAAACCCCAGCTCCAATGTTCATCTGGAATAAATGAGTTTTTACAAATCTTTAACTTCTTCAGATGCAAAACCCAGCATCAGAGCAGACAGACCAAATGCCAGATACAACTCAAACAGCCCCCGCAGCCAGACCACAGGGGGAGCAGACCTCCGACTTCTACCGCACCGACAACATCCCTGACAGATTTCAAAATCCAGGTGAGTTCAACATTTACATACATGTACAAAAAAAACTAAAGCCCGGTTCATACTTCAAGCGAAAGCGAATGCGAAGCGATTTTGACGTCATAAAACATTCGCTGCGAAATTCGCCTGAGTTGAAATATGTTCAACTTTTACGAATTCGCAGCGCGAATACTTGCCACGACGTCACAAATTCGCGTTCGCTTTTGCTTTCGCGCAGAGTATGAACCGGGCTTTAGAGAGAACTTTCCAAGGTTGAAGTCAAGACAGAACTTAACCAGCTTGGTCACTGTCAACTTGGTCACACATAGCAATCCTCTTTTAGCCCCATAAATCTTGAAGCACAAGGGCCTTTTATGCCTATGTTTTTGAGGATTTTGAAAGAGAAGGGCCAAGATCAATAAGCAGTGATCTCACGAGGAATTTTCACTCGGGGGTGGGGAAATGTAAATTGTAGCCCCTGTACCGCCCCAAAGCGCCGTGCTTGTTACTGCTGAAAATCGCCTGAGCAGGCTGAGGTTTCATGAATTTTTCAAGGTGTACATTGTAGTACAATGTAATACAAGTGCTAAAGGGTTGAAAATATGGTAGCCTTAGACAAAGTTCAAGTTTGGGGCACAAGTTAGAATAATATTCACAAATACCCGAGACAGTTTATCAATTCCTATTGGTTGAGAACCCGTCACATGGGTGCTTTTAAACCGCTAGTAAAACACCGCTGTGTTCTGCACCACATCGCGCAGTATGCGGTAGCGCACATCAATTTCCATATAAGGAGATTTTTAGCACTTCACGCACGAGGCACATACCATAGACATGGCCAGCGGGATGCTTCACAACACAACAAGTAAAATTGTTGAACAGAATCGTTGGAAATTTGTGAATTTTTGACTTGTTTTGACTTTTTGACCGAAAGGTATTTGTGAGTGGGTGCTCCATTTATTTGATCATTGGGGGAATTCTTCACTTGGGAAGCACCACCCTTAGTTATCTCTCATGAGACCACTGTTGAGAACTCAGTGATCAAGAAAACGAATACAACTGCTGCAAAGTACTTGCTGACTGGATTGACCTGAAAACCAAATAGAATTAGATGGCCTAACATTTCGATCCCAGCAGAATCTTTGTACAAAGCAAAATGACAGGGGTACAGACTGCCAAAGTAGTTGAGTTTGGGGCTGGTAAACTATTTTGGGGGGACCAAAACATGATATGTACTATTTTTCTCCAACTATTGAATGTAATAGTTCATTTTATTTCTATATTTTTTTCCCGCTGTCTCTGACAGATTGCTTTGAAGGATATGGCAGCCAACCCCAGAATCCCATGTACAGAACAACCAACATGACCTACGGCAATAGGGACCCGACGGTCCACACCATGCCGACCACTTTCAGGGCGAGGTCACAGAAATTCTCAGTGGTGAGTTGCAGTCATCGATTACAATAGGGATCTCGGTATCCCAAATTATGAAACGGGGGAGGGCTTTGCCAATAGAGTGGCCAAAACTTCATGCCAGCTTGGTGATTTTGCAGAGTTTTTGTTTAGGTGATTAGCTCAGTAAAAATGACTATCCTCACCCCACGCTACAATAAAGAAAATAATGAAGAAGTAGCTAAAAAAAAGACAAAATTGTTGAATTGGGATTTCAGTATCCCAAATGCGAGAATGTGGGTGTGCTGATGGAGGGACCAAAAATTTCAAACAAACATGGTGATCTTTCAGAGTTTTTGATTAGGTGATTGCACAGCAAAAACAAGTTTATTGTTCGGTAAAGCTATCCTCGCCCCGGCTTGGAACAAGAAAATAATGCAGAAGAAGAAGGAAAAAAATTGTGGAAAGTTGAACTTTTTCAAAATGAGTACGCTATAACCTTTTCCACTCACACCTTTCAGCCATCATTAATTTTCTTGGTTTTTGATTCACTCCACAACTTACCCAAAAAGTAAACAAGTGCAACACATTAGTTCATTGTTGCTGTTGATATTTTCCAAAAATTGTACTGCTAACTTTGCCTTATTTTTTAATTGAACTTTTTTTATTTAATTAGTAATTTTGGTTCCTTTGTCTCCACAGCATCTAGGTACTTGCGGAATGTACCGCAACCAAGGACTTAACACAGCGCTGGATCAAAGCAAAGTCTGATGTTAATAATAAACACCACTTTCTTCAATATCAACCTCCTGTTTTCTACTGTACTCAGCTCAAAGCGAGAGTGAAACCATGTCATTTTTTTTTTAGTTTTTCAATTTCTTTGGGGATCACAAACTTAAAGCGAGAGATGGCCAACGAAAGCATTGTGGATGACATGCAGTACCAAGTGCCACCAAACTACAACCTTATTGGACACATTCAGAAAATCAAATTTTTGTTTTTTGGTGCTACATTTGTTCGATTTAGATTGTTGTAAAGCTTTATCTTGAACGAGCAATAACAGTCGTGTGTCATAAAACAATTTATAAACCAATATTAGGTGTTGCCCTTCACTGATGTATAAACACTGTATACTCAGTGTGTTACCTCCCTAGTGAAAGTTGGAAAAAAATCACTCGAATGGGACTCGAACCCACGACCTCCTGCTTTCTAGTGCTGACGTCTTACCACTGGACCACCAAGCTTGCACTCGGGAGGTAACACACCGAGTATACAGTGTTTATACGTCGGTGAAGGGCAAAACCTAATGTTGATTTACATTACCCCATCGCAAAATTCCATCTTATGAATAACAATTTATAACCACAAAAAAGCATGTTATTTACCGTGATTGCAAACTGTTTGTTTTGTGCTGAGTTAGGTTAGAAATGAAAGCAGTCCTGGTTCAATGTACATATTAACTACTTTCTTGAAATTATAGGACTAAAGGAAATGGACTGATCCTTACATGTACACATTTTTTTTTTTTCTTTAGCGTGAAGCACTTCTTCAATCCTCATCAAATCTTGTAATGTTTCAATTACACTGAGAATGTTTGTCATTTCTCTGAAGCCAATTTTTCATTTGAGTAATTTTCTACTTTAGGTAACTTTATTTAAGTTTAATATTTTAATTTGAGGTTTTACTTTTTTAATGAAAAATAAATTCTTGATACACTGTTGATCGTTGGGTTTTTTGGCATACGTTCAACATGATACAGCCAAACTGTTACTTTTTTAATACATGTTTTGTAATAGTATAAAAGGTAAAGGTAAAGGGGACGAACCTGTATTCACAGGAACGGAGTGCCCATCTCTCTTTCGTTAGCGATTGGGCCAGACTCGAGTCCATGAAATGTTGCTGTGGGGGATCGCCACACCTCCTCCACAGCGAGTCTGTTACCTTCCCAGCATTGAACAATGCCAGTACCCATTTAACACCTGGGTTGAGAGGAGTAATTTAGAGTAAAGTGCCTTACTCAAGGGCACAACACGCATGGCCACGGTAATAGTATGCGACTTGGTTTAAAGCTGTAGTTTATTTAATATAACTAATTTTTCAGCATTCAATTTGTAAGCATAGTCACTCTAGTGAGAGAAAATTTAGGTCATTTTAATCAAAAAATATATATACGATGGAAATGATTGAAAAAGTGCTGAAAGTCAGTCCCTGTTATTTTTCTTTGGTGAAAATTGGAAATGCGTTCATCAATTTTCTGGAATTCCTTTCGCTTTGTGTAATATTCCTCCTTGGTGAAATGTGTTTTGTTTAATGCAATAAAAAGAAATTCAGTTTGAGAGTAATTGTTTGGGTTGTGTTTGTCTTTAACGGCTTGTCTACATACCTCCAAAAAAAAAATTGTTAGAAAGTTGGACCGATCCCTGGACTATTTTTCAACACCCATTTGGTTTTTTTTTATAAAATGAATATATTTTGTATTCAGTATTAAATAAAGCCTTCTTTAAAAGATCATCTGTGTTTCATATGCATCGAAAAGCTACGTGTACATGTGTATTGAGCTCACTGTACACACTTGTGTCTTGCTGCATGTACATGTGTGAACAGTTTGCCCGTAGCCGCCCTTTCTAAAGTCTTCTTCAATTACCCTTTATTTCCAAACTTTGCCATTTCAGGCAGAATAATTTCAGAGGGTATTTGATACCAGTCCTATCTTAGAGCAAGGCTTTTTGTCATTAAGCTTGTAGGAATTTTTCCGAGTTATTGTAAATGATCCTAGGTGACTTTAAAATGAAACAAAATCCACTTTCTGAAGTGTTCTAAGCTGCTCAAACTCCTGGTAGAGAGACCCCCTAAGGGTTCCTAAGGACTACCCTGCTAAATCCAACAGAGTCCAACGCAAACTTCCTGCTCAATCCAACAGAATCCAACTGTGCCTAATTTTTAGGTGTCTGTTGGCTCCAACAGAGTCCAACTTGGCGTTATTTATCAGTACCCAACAGACTCTGAATATGTACATGTACATTTGTACAAGGGGTTTACTGCTCAATCCAACAGGCTCCAACGGGTATATGACATAGTTGGATCCTTTTGGATTCAGCAGGGCGAGGGTTAAAGAAAAAATGTTCAAAGAAGTTGAAAGGAAGAAGGAAATTCTTTCACCGGGTATCATTTATTGAGATCTGTCATTTAGACATACATCAGGAAATAGGTGAATAGTGTTTTATAGGAAACAACAGGCAACAGAGATCATGCACAATGAACTGTACTGAAGTCATTTTCAAAACACAGATTGCAAAGGTGTTTTTTTTTTTAAATACAAGACCATTTAGGGTAAAAAAAAAAAATCAGCATCACAAGAAAGCTAATTGATAAATACATTGTACATACATGTACGATACATGATTGTTCTTGATATGCTATCCAAAACATGATGTATTCTTACATGTACATGCATGTATTCAAAACCTTGAACCAAAAAAAAAAAATATTGGAAACAGTATTGTGCAAAACTTTTCAAATGACAAAGCTACATGTACATATTTGTATCCCCAAAAATAGCATAATACAGTAAATATCACTCATATGTGTATGCCCACTTAAAGGTAGAGTAGGCCATTCCCATCTCTCAAAAGTAACCGACCAAATTATTGTTCAGAAGTTTACTTGGTTTAAAGATAGTAATGACACTAAACTCCCTGTGAAATTATTTCTTCTGGCATGCCGTCATTTTGAAGGAAACAATAAAAGGAGGTCATTCCCAAAGATGCGTCAAGCGACACATTTTTGGAAATTTCCGTTGGCAGTCGGTTTGTAATTGGGCAAATCTGTAAATGGGTGCAAGTGTGTTGACATGACGCACACGCACGCACGGTTGCTATTATTAGCGAGAATTGCTGGTTCAGTGTGTGACGCCACATACCGGTAGCTACAATCGGCTGAATGAGAATCATGTCCCGAATGCTGATTTTGGGATTGTGTTATGACTCAACAACTTTTGACTTGAAATCGAGATCCAAAATATTGTGTTTTCTAGAAATATACAGCATTCACAGAGCTAACGCTTTATCGGGTTAGTTGTTAAACACCTGTCTTTAGATTCTGAGCACTATACGCTCCGTTCACAAGAACCCCCTCACCGGCAATTTAGAAAGTACAGTTGGGGGTGACCGACCGACGCCATCTTGCCTGACAGCAATTTTGCCGCGACGCGCGGCAGTACCACTGCGTGTACATGGTACAAATCCCCTGGTGTACGTGTGTCACACACAAGAAACGGTGCGCGTCAACTAGCTAAATGTCCTGCCCATGAGACGTCGTTGCTAGGTAAAAGGGCGCCCTCTTTCGTTGGCGCACAGAGCCCATTATCGCTTCAAATGAAAAACAAATGCATAAATTATAAATTTAGGTTTATTCTACCTTTATGATGTAGCTGAATACATTTTTTTCGGTTCAGTGCGTGTATTTCACACTCTTTTCATGCATATCTTCCTCAGCTTGGAAACTTTCTCTTTATACATTTATAGAATTATGAGGAGCATGTTAACAGCAAAAGTAAACATTTAATAAATCAATCCTTTATATGTCAAACATCTTCAGGCTTTGTCCAAAAATATTGGTCGCTTAATTACATTCATTTTTTTGAGTTCATCAAAAATAAATAACCGTCTGTTTATTTTAAACTTACAAGTAAACTCTTGATCAGTAAACCTTTTACCCGTAAGCAAAAGAAAAAAAAGAAAACACAAGAACCGCTATTGCAAAATTTCAAAAAGAAAACAACTTTGAATAAACAGAAATGCTTTCAAAGTAACACAAACTCCATATACAGGGTGAATTTTAAAAAAAACGAAACCAAAATGTTGGGACCACTGTTTTAGGGAAGTTCTGCATAAGCATTTTCAAAATCTAGGATATGAAAGCCCAATTCATAAGCTTTATTTCAGAACAAGAATCATTCAAATCACTCATGTACTTTTCAAGTTACGGAATTTCAAACATACCGGGTAACCACTGTTTTAAGGTTCTGTCCACGGATAACAAAAAAAAGTTCACTGTTCTTTCAGCAAAATGAAAACAAATCTCATAGGGATGTGTGTGAATTGTTCTCGTTTTGCTGAAAGAACGCACACCTTTTTTTGTGATCCGTGGACAGAACCTTAAAACGGTGGTTGTGTTTAAAATTCCGTAACTTGAAAAGTACATGAGTGATTTGAATGATTCTTGTGCTAAACGAAAGCTTATGAATTGGGCTTTCATATCCTAGATTTTTAAAGTGCTACATGCAAAACTTCAAACAATAGTCCTGATATTTGGGTTCGGTTTTTTTTTTACTCACCCTGTATGCACACGCACAGGAGTATAGTACATGCACATTTCAGTATTGCAACTGTTAACTTATAAACAATCTATCACCAGTTATCTACTTTAAACATTTGTTTTTATACCTAAATACTTTTAACTATGGTCTACATGTACATGGCTGGCAAAGTATAACTTAACATATCTCATTATCAGTTGTTTCAATGCATAACATAATATTTCAGCTTTTTTAAAAATTTGCATATGCCGTTTTTTGGACACTGCAAACCGAAGGATATACAGAAAATTTAGCGAATGAAAGCTAGCCCAAAAAAAAAAAAAAAAAGGAATTTGTGAAATTGTGCCCCTTTTTGAAATCAAAAGTGTTCTGTGTATTCATCTTTAATATAATTAATTGATTACATGAACACAAATATGCTTCCACACCGCTGAGGGACAGATAACAAAAATGAGAAGTTCGCATCACAAATTTGAAGGTCATTTAAAAAATTTGTCGTGCACAGATTTGTTAAGAATGAAAAGTGTATTTTTCAAAGCAAAAAAAGCAAGTTAATAGCCAAAACCTCATCCAAATATGGTCTGGCACTCTGCCGATTATGCGCATAAATTTGCTGAGCATCGTTTTTGGCTAGTAGCTCAAAAAAAAAATCCCCCTTTTTTTTCTCTAGAACCCTTCAGATTCTAACAGAATCTTCTCTTTTAAAGCGCCAAACTCCTGAAAACGGAACCCAAGGTTTAATATTTTTCATTCCGAAAAAAAACCCCCCAGATTCCTTTTCTCAATTGCTATTCTTTGTAGCAATACAAAAGTTTTCCACTTTTGAATGAGACTTCGACCAAAACAAAATCGGCACAGTTTTAGTTATTGTACAATTACTTTACAATTTCAAATTATTGACTGCCAGACAATAATTCCATTCTCACAAGGTAGGCTGGTTCCTGTCCCACAAATCAGTATCGATAATGTACGGACCGTAAGCCAGCCTACTTCCAAAGTAGATCTGTTTGTGCCCACAACCACAAACATTTTTTTTGTAATTAAAAAAAAAAAAATCTGTTGAAGAGCATGGGCAACGCAACTTTGATGATCAAAAGAAAGATCAAAATAATCCTTCAGAAATGTTTGCTTTGAATTCAGAGGAGTTACATTAAATAAATGTTGTTATTCAGACAAAGGCTTTTTACACATGCCAAATAAACAATTTTGTGGCTCTGACCAAAAGATAGATATGTACAATATACATGTGTTGAACTTGTTCCGCTCAGCGTTTTCTTTGTCATATTTACAATTTACCCTCAGATTTAAGTAAATTACCATGGATTCTAACCTGCCAATTAATACATAAATACCCGGTATGTAGTTAACAAAAATATGAGTTTACAGTATTAACATTCATGAACGTCTAGGATGTTTCCTTTTCATTTCGTTGAGGTTACTTCATGCTACTCTCTACAGAATAATGGTTTGTCTTGCAACTGGCTTGAAGAATTTGACAGCAGAACATTGTTGGAAACATGGACAGGTCTGACAAATAGAAATGAGTTGTTATTTTGTTTGAAAATAGAACACTGTATTTGTAGATGTAATTTCCCCAATCTACAGTCTATGGTACACGCATGCACTGTCAAGGTACAAATGTACCATACAGCTTGTTCTGTAACCTTACGCATTATTCAAATGTGACATACATGTAATCCAACAACGGGCAAGTCTCTATCGGAGTCTGAATCTACATGTAAGTAGAAACTTAAGACTGATTCATACATGCACTTCACGCAAACATGAAAAGCGAAGCACATTTGTGACCTGCTCTGCAAAAATGAGTCTGATGTCGCATAATTTGAATTCAAGCTTTTGTCATTTTGAAATGGAAACAGTAAAAATTTGGTCAAAATTTGGATTTTTTGTTTTTGTTTTATTTTGGTTGTTTGATAGTTTTAGTTCAAATATCTTACACAGAAATGTAAATATTGTAAGAAAAAGAAAAACATTATGAATCTTTGGTGCTTTTCTTGGTTAGTTACAGTGTATTTGTCATTTTTCAAAGCCTATTTTCTCCATTGAGACATTTCTTGCTTTGCAAAAACTTTACAGAATGAAACAAGCACAACAATGCAACCAAATGTCCTAGAGAGGTCCGTGATATACCAAATGAAAGCTTATTTCATTCCCATTTTAGTAATGTAGTTAACTCAAAATGTCAGTTTTGCCACAACAGACTCATTTTTGCGGAGCGGGTCACATTTGACATCTCGGGAAAAAAAAATCAGCTGCGAAATGTGTTCACTTTCTGCCAATTCACAGAACTTTTGAAAATTTTCGATGACACCACCCATTTCTTGACGAGTACACATTGATCTTCATTAGTAAGATTAGACTGGATAAGACACAGCGCGCTCCATCTTGTGCACCCAGTTAGTCATCGGCGAGGGTTTTGACAGTTTGGAATGCTTTGTCACACACAGACCATGCAGCACGCGCACGTCACGCATGCGCGGTCGCAACCGTTAAACCCGCACTGTATCACCCAGCTGTTTGTGTCCGCGTTTTCCGAATATTCACTGCGCGCAAGTATACAAATGTACATGTATGCGTATCCTATCCAGTCTTACTATGCGAGTACACGTACCGTATAAACCGGCCTCTGCTGGACATTTTTTTTTTTAGTTCAAGAAATTGCTGCACACTTCACTGTTGCTATAGGCTATTTTGGCAGGTTCTGAGTGAAAAATTATGGGGTTGGGGTGACAGTGGCTGAACCGGGGGGGGGGGGGGGAATGGAGTAGGGAGAGGAGGGATGGAGTAGGGGGGATGGGGTGGAGTGGGGGGTTTACAGGGTTTAGGGGGAGGTGCGGAGGGCCCCCTCCAACAGTGACAGAAATTTTCTCAAATAAGGCCATTTTTAACTTGAGAGAGGCCCCCCCCCCCCCCCGGGACCTCTCTGGTTCTGCCCTTGAGGGAGACCAGGTTGTGCACATGTAGAAATACATACACATATTTTAACATGTTATGTAATACAATTGTAATATACATGTATAGGCAAGGTCAAAAAGGAGGCACGATATTCTGGCACTGACCGACATCACATGACAATTGCTCAAAGACAGAAATAACAGACATTAAGTTGTATTGCGAAAAACTGAATACAATCGGTAATACTCCATACTACATGAATTAAAAAACAAAAACAATTATTCCTCAACCAAAATCGAATCCTGGATCCTGATTGGTCGATCCATGGCGGCAGTGTGATATTATCCCTTATAGCATACAGTCCACATTGCACTCTAAGTATCGTGCTATTCTAAGATACGCGCAGTATTCAACAAGCTGCACGCACTTGTAATACTTTAGGATAGCCGCTGAAAAGTTCCTGAATGCGTGTCAAGTTTGCTTGAAGTTTAATTTGTTGTCCAGCACTAAAAATGTAGTGCACCTGTGTGCCATATGCCACTCGCGGTCATGGGATGACTACCGCAATGGAGTACCGAAGTGAATACGTCACGCGCGTGATTCAGACCGCGAACCAACATGCACGCGTACTCCATTTAGATGCACTACACTTTCTGGTTCTAAATGACGTCACACTTTGGTACTCCATAGTTTACTTTGAATACATGTATGGTATAGTCATCTGTTTAATCACTTTATTTGCAAGATACATACAAATGCATGCATTTTATACATGACATCAACAAAGTTTGAAACTTTCGACACAAGACGGTAGACCTATGGTGTGCACATGTATGCTGATCAAAGGATACCTGTACATAATGAAAAAGACTGGGAATTCACTTTCAGAACCTTTTTCACCTCTGCAGAAAGTGTTATCTTCAACATGTTCAATGACATATTTCTTATGATGGACAAACTATTAAAGACAGCTTTACAGAACGTTACAGTGCTGCAGTCTGATGTATGTGTTAGTGAAAATAGCATGTTTACAGTGAATCACACGTTAATTATGCAAAATATACATTGACTTACATGTAGATATATCACACACACAAAAAGCCCATTACCGCACCATTTTGTGAAACCATACATAAAAGAGATTAGAGATGTACATTTGAAGCACAATATAATACTTGTTACATGTATACTTGACCTGTTTGTTTTGAGTGAAGTTTCAAAGCTATGTGGAGTTGGCCGGCATATTAGGCCCTCCGTTCATGTTGATAATGTCCGCGCTATCCTCCAGGCTGATTTTGGCCGGGTCCACCTTGGAGGCCTCCGACTGCAGATACTCCGAATACAGCATCCTGGCGTGACTCAGGATCTTGCCCAGGCTGTGCTTGCGCACCATGCTGTCAAACAGCATAGCCATGTCGTTGTAGTCCAGTTTATGTGCCATCACCCCGTTGCGCTGGTCCATCAGCATGGCCAGGCAGACAAACATGACAAAGGGGTTGCCGCCGCCAAAGTCCTGGGGAGGGGGCAAGCCCCGGTAAGGGTTACGGACCGGACTGGAAGGGGTCTTGGATGGACTTTTGGGAGAGGACTTACGGTGGTGACCTTTGTTGACTCCTTTCTGAGACAGGACAGGGCTGCTCTGGGACTTAGACAGACTCTTGGGCTGGACGCCTAAGTTGGAAGGGGGACTCTGTCGCTCGTTGGCGGACATCAAGCGGTGATTCACGCTGCCGTTGGAGTTACTTGTACTGTTTGTGTCGCTGCACGTGGTGTCAACGGTAGCCGAGTAGCTACGTTTTATGGGTGTTTCGCTTCTCTTAGCGGATTTATGAGTGGAGTTGCTGATACTGGAGTCTTGAACAGTTTGCTTGGATTCATTTGTGCTTGTGTTATTGTCAGGTATACTTTCATCACCTGTTTTGCTTTCGTCACATTCATCGACCTTTCCCTGAATATCAGTTTTCTCAGCTGATTTCCTATTGGAGACAGGGCTATCGGATTTACCAACGCCGCTAATGCTCTCTTTGGAAACACTATGGCCCCGAGAGAACCGGAAGCGGAGTCTCTCGGCGGCAAATGCTGACGGGGAGGCATCAGAGGACGACGCTAATTCCACGCCCTGTTCGCTGGGAGGATCTGGTGGTAGAGAACTCCACATAATCTCTTTCATCCTCAGAGCATCCGTGAAGGCAAACTCTCGTTTCAGTTCCAGCAGGAGCCACCGGTAGCAGAAGTACAGATCGTCGGCGTTCTCCTCCTTGAGGTATTCATAGAAGTCCGGGTCCACGCAGCGGATCAACTCTGTCAGATGCAGGAACTTGACCGACATGGCCTTCCCGTCCGGCAAGAAGTTACAAGCCAGACGCTTCATGAGCTGGCAAAAGCAGATGTAGGCCTGCGCCTCGTCCTCCATCACAAACAAGATTGGGGAGGCCAGGTCACTCATACCTTGGCAGTAGGAGACCTCCGGGTGCGACAGGGCATAAGTGGCCAACAAGTTGAAGAGCTTTTCAACGTTCTCATCTGAGTTAGCGTAGAAGTCCTCCAAACGATCCGTCCGCAGGACGTCCTTCCTGACCATGTTCTTGATGTTCTTAAAGTCCTCCCGAGGATCTGAAAGCAGCTTATTTTTCAGCTTCTGGTAGTCCATGGACTTGGCCTTGATATGCTGCATGCGTTCTTTCCCCGTCAGTCCCTCAGGGTAGATGTTCAACAAGTGTCGCCAGACGACCTTCCTCAGGGACGGCTTGATGCCGCCTTGGTAAACACGCAGCCGCAGGTCGTGGGGCCTCTCCAAGTGTCCTACAGGGTCCAGAAATGTGAAGAACTCGTGGTCGTCCAAGGGCGAGCGGGGCAATTCATAGGTTTCCTCCTCACCCTCCACTGTCTGAAAGATGCGCGAGACTCTTGTTAGGGTCTTGCCCACGCTGTCCATGATAGCACCGACAAATGGCACAAAGCGCATGCGATCTGAGCTGTTTCCAGATACATCCTGGCCACTGATAACATCCCAATCTTCAAGCAAACCTGTAAGCAAAACATAAACAACATCATTCAGCACTGCATTAAGAAAAACTTTACAATGGGACAGTGAGAAGTTGGTGCTTCTCAAGCAATATTTACCTATACAACAAGTTAACTTTATACACCAACTGAGGGTCCTCTGTTCTCTCTGTAGCATATCTATCCTTCAAATACGGTGAAGTGCCAGATGTGCTCGATTATCACTTGCTAAATCCTATAAAACTTGAATGTATATTAGTAAACGAAAACAAATTCACAGGAGATCTTGAACCTGCGATTTGGTTCTTAAGCCGCCCTCAGGTCAACCTTGCACGCATCCATATCATCTGATTTCATTGCGTAACATATCAGCTTGCAGAAGAGTTTAAAAACAGTCATGCAAGCCAAACGAATATTTTGTCTTGACGCCTACCGTCAACATCGTCATGTCCATGCAACAAGGTGATATCTCCTAAAATGGGCCGTACGTGAAATGCAAGTTTCAGAATGTCAAAAGGTTGTATCTCACTTAAAATAACCGGGATGAACACACAAAGTAAATGGACGTCGAGATACGACCTTGTTGCACGGAGCGTATTCACGCGAGATACAACCTTGCTGCAGAACGGAGTAACGACCTTGTTGCACTGGCGCGACAATATTTTGAACAAATCGCATTATCACATCTATGCCGCAAATTCAGTGTCCCATCATGGGTGACATGAGTATGCTTGCGAATATTCAGAATCCAGATGCCGCTTGTTCAAAATGATACCGTAATTTCTCAGTTTTTGTGACCTGAGCATGACTTTTGTGCATGACATGCAGACAGTTCTGCTCATGGCGCAAGCAACTCGCAGGTCGACCTGAGGCAGGCTTTAAATTTAGATTCACAAATTTGAAAAGAAATTTGTTCTCAATTGAAACATCTGCACCTGAGGTCCTAAAGGCATATAGTCCCATTCCAACATCCACTTGAGGTTCTAAAGGCATAAAGTCCCATTCCAACATCCACTTGAGGTTCTAAAGGCATAAAGTCCCATTCCAATATCCACTTGAGGTCCTAAAGGCATATAGTTGCATTCCAATATCCACTTGAGGTTCTAAAGGCATAAAGTCCCATTCCAATATCCACTTGAGGTCCTAAAGGCATATAGTCCCATTCCAATATCCACTTGCGGTTCTAAAGGCATAAAGTCCCATTCCAATATCCCCTTGAGGTCCTAAAGGCATATAGTCCTATTCCAATATCCACTTGAGGTTCTAAAGGCATAAGGTCCCATTCCATTATCCACTTGAGGTCCTAAAGGCATATAGTCCCATTCCAATATCCACTTGAGGTTCTAAAGGTATAAAGTCCCATTCCAATATCCACCTGAGGTCCTAAAGGCATATAGTCCCATTCCAATATCCACTTGAGGTTCTAAAGGCATAAAGTCCCATTCCATTATCCACCTGAGGTCCTAAAGGCATATAGTCCCATTCCAATATCCACTTGAGGTTCTAAAGGCATAAAGTCCCATTCCAATATCCACCCGAGGTCCTAAAGGCATATAGTCGCATTCCAATATCCACTTGAGGTTCTAAAGGCATAAAGTCCCATTCCAATATCCACTTGAGGTCCTAAAGGCATATAGTCCCATTCCAATATCCACTTGAGGTTCTAAAGGCATAAAGTCCCATTCCAATATCCACTTGAGGTCCTAAAGGCATATAGTCCTATTCCAATACCCACTTGAGGTTCTAAAGGCATAAGGTCCTATTCCATTATCCACTTGAGGTCCTAAAGGCATATAGTCCCATTCCAATGTCCACTTGAGGTTCTAAAGGTATAAAGTCCCATTCCAATATCCACCTGAGGTCCTAAAGGCATATAGTCCCATTCCAATATCCACTTGAGGTTCTAAAGGCATAAAGTCCCATTCCAATATCCACTTGAGGTCCTAAAGGCATATACTCCCATTCCAATATCCACCTGAGGTCCTAAAGGCATATAGTCCCATTCCAATATCCACTTGAGGTTCTAAAGGCATAAAGTCCCATTCCAATATCCACCCGAGGTCCTAAAGGCATATAGTTGCATCCCAATATCCACTTGAGGTTATAAAGGTATAAAGTCCCATTCCAATATCCACCTGAGGTCCTAAAGGCATATAGTTCCATTCCAATATCCACTTGAGGTTCTAAAGGCATAAAGTCCCATTCCAATATCCACTTGAGGTCCTAAAGGCATATAGTCCTATTCCAATACCCACTTGAGGTTCTAAAGGCATAAGGTCCCATTCCATTATCCACTTGAGGTCCTAAAGGCATATAGTCCCATTCCAATGTCCACTTGAGGTTCTAAAGGTATAAAGTCCCATTCCAATATCCACCTGAGGTCCTAAAGGCATATAGTCCCATTCCAATATCCACTTGAGGTTCTAAAGGCATAAAGTCCCATTCCAATATCCACTTGAGGTCCTAAAGGCATATACTCCCATTCCAATATCCACTTGAGGTTCTAAAGGCATATAGTCCCATTCCAATATCCACTTGAGGTCCTAAAGGCATATAGTCCCATTCCAATATCCACTTGAGGTTCTAAAGGCATATAGTCCCATTCCAATATCCACTTGAGGTCCTAAAGGCATATAGTCCCATTCCAATATCCACTTGAGGTCCTAAAGGCATATACTCCCATTCCAATATCCACCTGAGGTCCTAAAGGCATATAGTCCCATTCCAATATCCACTTGAGGTCCTAAAGGCATATAGTCCCATGAAAATTGTTTTGCCTGATAGCCCTACATTCCAATATCCACTTGGAGAATTGTACCACAGGGCACATGCCAATTTGCAAAGGCAAGAACCCTGAATGAATAGACAAGATCATTAAGCCCAGCCAGCGCACATGGGCCAGACTCCATGGGCCTGTTTGTTTCGCGCATATCCGGATCGCGATCAGTGATCCGACACGTCGATAGCTGTTCCGGATCACGCTTTAACGGATGCTGCTCATGAGGTGGATTCAACCCTCCATAATCATCCGTTTTTTTCTTGATTTTAGTCCCTGGAGGGGTGGCCACTGCCTCAATCCTGCAAAATCCTCCGGCAGTCACTGTCAATATGTTGAGGCACAGCCAATGACATCCTGGAGCAGTGCGGAGGATTTCAAGTATAATGTGGCCTAAATTTATGCCCGGCTGAGCACAAACAACACAAGGTCCGACCTAAAGACCCTGACACAGTGCATCACTGCACAATCTGCCACACATTTTTGCCATATAGCCTCAATCCTGCAAAATCCTCCATGTTGCAAAAAGGATTTTGGAGGATTTGGGAAGGTTAGGGTTAATGTGGGTCCTTGGATGCCTAAAGACTCCATTTCTCTTACCGGGTCCTTCGAACGGTTTGGCGTCCACCTTGAGCCTCAGGCAAGGATCGGAGGAGGTGAGTATGGCAGAGTCAAGGTCCCAATCAGACAGCAGGGACAGATACACCTCCCTGGCTTGATCATCACGTGATGAATAGCTGATGGTGAACTCACTAGAAGCAGGGAGGAAAAAAAGGCAATTATGAAAGCTGTCCTTTCAAATGAGTGAATTTACCATATTGCTTGTCCACTACATTTAGTACTTTACACAAATGCTTGAAAGTATCATCATCATCATCATGTCTCCTGCCCGAAAGGAGTGGAGGCCATACGTGCAATGTGCTTGCGCCAGAACTCTCTGTTCTAGGCGGCAATTGTCACTGTTGCATAGTCAAGTCCTAACTGGTATACAGTGTTTAAACGTCGGTTAAGCATTAAGTAGAAGGACACCTACACATACAATGTACATGTTCTGGTAATTACAATCAAACAGAGCTCACAGTGCAGATTCCTGATTTCTGCATTGTAGCTGTATAGTGTCACTTGAAAACAAAATGTTTCTAAGCTGATCTGTGATACACACAGCCAATTATGTTTTTAGCAGCACTCTACAAGAATGACACCAGCAGCCGATTTCACGAAACAGTGCGTCACTTACCATGCTTACACCATGCATAGGACTTACGCAACAAATTATGTTTGCGTGTATGCACGCACGCTCCGTACATTTTCATTTTCATAAACTGAAACCGGTCTTAATTTCACCAGTAAGAAGGTTTTTAATTAAATTTCTGTGTAAGCACACCAGTATACAGATGGATTAAATCTGAATCAAACCTTTCAAAGCGTTTTTTTCCCCCCCAAAAAAGTATTTCCACCACATGTTTGCGTCTCAGTTTCTGAAAACCAAAATTATTCTATTATGCATCAGTGTACGAAGTGCACGCGCACACCCGCGTGTCAGTTCGTGAAACCGAAATTATTGATTATGCTGTTTTCACAAACTGACATCACACAGCGCGGGCGTGTCAGTTTGTAAAAATGGTGACGACCCTTTCTCTGCAAAGCAATTTTCTGCGCTCGGCAATTCCATTCAATCAGCTCAATTTCATGCCAGAGAAATGTGTATAGCATAGAAAATATTTGTTTGGCCAAAAAAGTTGACCAGCCAATATCTCATGCGATGTGCAACACTCAGTGTATTTCCCAAGCAATATCGGCCCCATGCTATTTGGGCCCAGTACCTTTTCAGTTGGAATGCCTGCATGAGCAGAAGTTGCAGCATCTCAAAGGTGGTGATCTCTGGATCAATGCTGAACGTCTTGTACTCTGGCTGCAGGAAACCCACGCATTTCTGTGGTAAAGAGCAACAAAATAATATCAATCAAATAATGGGTGGGAATTTATTCCAGTGACAATCAGGCGAGCGTTACCCTATCCGTCAAAATCTACCAGGTGAAATTAACTTTTCTGTAAAGTCGGCTCATATTGGTACAATTGACAGGCTGTGGTAGGTATGTTAACTGAGGGTGCCATGCCTTGACTGACATTGATAGATGTGGTGGGTCAGCGCTGGTGATTGCCTGTCAATGATAGATTTAGCTCAGTCACAATGAAGGCACAATTACAGCTTTACTCATGCATATCCCAGCAAAACAAAGGCATTACCCTCTAAGATGGCTGCTACGCAAGCTGTACCACTATTAACCTTAACTCCCTAGGCCTTTTTGCTAGGATGTAGCCTAAATCCTGCAAAATCCTCCAACTGGCCTCATGGAAAAATAGCATATAGCCTCAATCCTGCAAATTCCTCGGTTGTTTCTTGAATATGGTCCATGGAGGGGTGACCACTGCCTGAATCCTGGAAAATCATCCGGCTATGACTGTCAATAGGCTGAGGCAGAGGCAGTGACATCCTGGAGCAGTGCGCAGGATGTCAAGTATAATCAAGGACTAAATTTATGCACGGCTGAGCATAAACAACACAAGGTCCGGCCCAAGACCTTGACACAGTGCGTATTCCGAAATCAGCAACACACTTTTGCCATGTAACCTCAATCCTGCAAATTCCTCCAATTTGCAAAAAGGATTTTGGAGGATTCAGGGCGGTTAGGGTATCACTCTATCTATCAAACCCCTTCAACAGTTTTTGACAGTTATGCGGTTTAATCCATGGTGGTTCCGGCAGTTGGTGACCAGCCTGTACAAAAGCTATGGGAGAGGAAATGGTTAGATTTTTTGATGGTTTGTGACAGTTCTATCAGTAGGATGGTTTCCTGGTTTTGCATTTCTTTCGTTTGATATCTGTACTTGCCAGGAATGACATTGGGGAAAAAAAATGAAAACTCCATGAAATGATCAGCAGTAGGGTTTTTCAAGTCGTCGAAGGCCCCAGAGCAATGTTGGGTCTGTGGTTTACGTTTGTATTTGCCTAAAGGCACCCTTAAAATACATGTATCTTTTGTTCCGTAATTCCAGATTTGGCTTCTTTTTCCCTTCAAAAATCCTGAAATCAGGAAAAATCCTGACAAATCACATTCCCGACTTACATTTCGTATTATTTTTATCACATACCAGTATGTAGCATGTTTGTGGAGTTACTTAATCAATAAGCAGAACCATTCTGCTATAAGACTTGAGCACACCACCGTTAAACTTAAGCACAAAATTGTGCTTTTTTACCACTGTTTGTATGTTACATGTACATTGCCATCCAGTAATTGTAAATGCAGGGGCAAAATTAAACAGATCCATTTGCAGCTGTCACAATTTTGAAATAAATTTGAATGCGCTTATAGTACAAAACGTAAGTATATATATGTTTTGTTCTGACAATAATGTGAGAATGATAAGAAAATGACAGTAATTTAACCATGTAAAAAAAATTGTAAATGTCACGTACTTTCAGGGTGCATGCACTACTAGTATTGGTTTAAAGTTCAAAATACACATGTACATGTTTAAAATGTACATGTAGGTGGTGCATTTTTTAATTAACATGTTGGTGGACCCAACTACCGTACTGTGATTTTGTGATTTTGAAGTAATGTACACGAAAAGATAATCACGTCAGACTGCACATCGACCCAATAAATGGTACTCACACAATTGACATGATTCACAAACTATGCTTTAACATGTACTTTACTGATGCATAATGCTTGGGATAAGATTGGGTAGCCATTAATGTATTAAAGGGAATATACATCATTTGCTTTTACTGTAATTTTCAGAAATGGATGGAATTGGGGGGTTGGTAATATATAGCAAATATAGTTACACTGACTTTTTTGAGGTTTTGGGATCGAAAATGCTACAAAAACCAAGAAAAACAATCATTTTCCTGTAGTCTGGTTCCCTGACTCCATATAAGAAGAAACAGAGCAGTTTACATACATTGGGGAATTGTAAGGTCAGGGAACCAGTCTAGCTGGCTCGTACCTGTTCATAGGTTTGTAATCGATTGCAAACAAGTGCGATGGTCAATTGGGGCCAGTTTTTAAAAAAAAAGCCAGTTTTTTCCAATGCTGATCGGCCGATCAGGGTTGGACATTGATACAAAAATACCACTTTTCTTGAAAATGACAGTATACCAGGTGCCATGATTTTACAGGATGCTTTACACTGTCATTCACTAACAGTCCAGCAAGGTATTTCAAAATGATTTGGTTGTTTTATTTTTTGATGTTTGCAAATGTTGTATTTTCCCTTTAAGTTTAGCACACAGCAAAAGCTACCATTATTGCCCTGTCATTTTTATTGATTAAATTCCACAGCTCTGCAAAAAAGGCCTACAATTCTCCACAGCTGTTGGATTCGGTACACATCCCCAGCAGAATCCCACTTTAGTTACATGTACATGTATGTACATTTTCCCGTACGTGTACATGTACATGTGCACAGTTTGAAGTGTACTTGTACATAAGTATACAGTGTGGTAATATGGTATTATGTATAGTTATGCAGTATGGCTGAAAACACAATGCAAAATATTACGTATAAAAAGTGTACTGTAAAATACCTGTCATATTGTATGGTACCAGTAAATATACCTGTACATATATGGTTTTGTTAATGTCTTTCACTACAAATTTATACCTAATGAGTTTACACCAAGATTTTTGATGTTCCACAAAATTAGACAAGAATGAAAAAAATATAAACTGTAGGCCTATTTGGTGACTGACACTGACTCCACTGTTGTATGATAATATTCTGGTTCATTTATATATGACATTGTTTTATTATGCATATTAATAAACCCCATTAAAATTTATGAGATTGTGCCAAATTTGGATGCTTTTATGTTACGTTTTATGACTACTGACACGACTGAGGTCCATTTTATCATCAAGAGTGACTAGAGTTTTTTTGGATCATTTCTCTGTTCTCGTTAGTTCATTTAGTTAATTAACTCCATCACGGACATCACACTTTCTTTCATAATGCTGGTACAGCCCACTTGCGTAACGTACACTTTTCAATATGGTTCAAATTGCTTTGCTGAAACCAGAAACTAGGCCTGGTTCACTGGCCTGGGCATTTAAATGTGCTTACTGAACCATTTATTGCCATCAATACTTTTTCCAAGTACACAAAAGCCCATGTGTGTATAGTGTCAGACAAAGTGAAACCTTGTAGTGACGATTAAGACACCAAAATGTGTAGGCGTGCTTAGAAATGCCCAATTACAGTCAACAAAAAGGGCCAAACCATTGAAGAACGTGTATGTACGCATGCTGCAGCTAACTTGGCCTGGCCTTCAACTTTCTCTTGCCTGTAGCATTAGCATGCAGTAGAATTGCTGAAGTGTTGCATTACCGTAGGCTACCTTTCAAGCAGTACAAATCTAACTGTTATTACGGCTGTGCCAAATTTTCAGAATATTCAAATAAAAAATCAAACGAATATCTGAATGGCATTTTTAATTCAAATATTCGGAAAACTATGTGAGCCGTCTCAAGGAAATGATGAAATGCATCCTTGATGTTCTTTTAATCGTATAGGCCTATTAGTTGCGTAGTTTTGTTGGTTGCCAAATGTCACACTCTTTTGCGTATAATTTGAGAGCTTCCATGAGGAGTATTATTTCAAGTTTCTTCTTCTTTGTTAATAACAAACCTGTCAAATATCGGCCATTCCACTACCCATTATTTGTATTACAATGTAAGCTCTTCGTCAGTTTTCAAAAAGTGCGGACGCGGTGCACACAAATACCGATAGCGTCAAGTTTTGGCTAGTACCTGTTGGGCCAAATAAAAAAAAACATGTTTAGCGTCCCCACCCGCTTCTTTTTTGGAGGCTGCTGCCTCCTTTTTTTGGGGGGGGGATGTTTTGGGTTTTTTTAAACCGAAAAAAATGATAAATGTTTAACAGTGACATCATTTTGGCCTCTTTGTGTGTTGCATCTAGCCCATATAAAGCCGGTATGTCATTTCCTGAGTCCAATGGCGGCCATTTAAAAAAAAACTGGCGGTCATCTTGAAAATAGCCAGGTCGGGCGGCCATTTTGGAGGGAAACACATTTTTCCTGCTTCTATTTTTTTTCAAGAAGGCAGGACGCTGGACGCTAAACATGTTTTTTTTTTTGGCCTTACATTTGATGAGTGTATTCCAAATATGCGATCAAGTCCAAGTTAGAATTTACAAATGTTGTAAAATTATACAAATTTACAAATACAAAATTATTCAAAAATTCACAGCCCTGTTATTCTGAGTATTCACCTTTAGAGGTTGAAGTTTTGTGTTCATTTTTTAACCCTCCTTTGTGGGAAGTCAACATTCAGAGCAATATGTAAAAATAACAGCGTTGCTGTTGAAACCCCTCAGCCAGAGTCAAGTTATCATCCGGAAACCATTAACCTTTAACTCAACGTGGTGACCTTGACCTTTGGCCTTTGACCCCAGAACCAGTCCCAACATGCCTGTACCAATGGGAAACCCCCTACCGAAGTTAGACACCAACATTTCATTTCTAACTCAAGTTATCATTCGGAACCATTTACATTGAACTCACCACGGTGACCTTGACCTTTGACCTTTTGACCCCCAAACCAATCCCAACTTGCCTGTACCCAAGGGCAAACCCCTACCTCAGTCAGACACCAAAATCTCATTTCTAACTCAAGTTATCATCCGGAAACCATTTACCTTTAACTCACCATGCTGACCTTGACCTTTGACCTTTTGACCCCAAAACCAATCCCAACTTGCCTTCTCCCAAGGGGAACCCTCTTCCAAAGTTAGACACCAAAATTGCATTTCTAACTCAAGTTATCATCCGGAAACCATTTACCTTTAACTCACAATGGTGACCTTGACCTTTGACCTTTTGACCCCAAAACCAATCCCAAC